ATATGAATCTAACAACCTTCATAGGCATTTACCTATGAAGACAGAATAGCCATACTAAAATTTATAGACCTTGTAAACTTCTGGAAGGATTCATTGCCTAGTCTGACTTGCATAGTCTGTGGTTTGATTTTTACGTAGTCTTTGCCATCTTGAATATGACCAGACAGGATTAGTGGTGCTACTTTATAGCTCATCAGCAGTAAGTCAAGGACAGGACACTAAAAATGGATAATGAATTGATTGTACATTGTGTCATGGTGAAGTGGGCAGATTTTGCTAGCTGATGTAGTTACTGTTTTTCCCCCAGTAGAATATGCCAGTTATTTTCTTATCTGTCTCTCCTAATGAAACACAATTCAAAATCAAGTTAGTGAATCTGTTATATAGTCCCTTTCCTCCTCTGATTCAATGTGGAAGCTAAATTTAGCTTGGTGTTTAACGAGCAAAGCTGACTATGAGGTCAGCAGCCTCGAATTTTCAGCTTTCTAATAATCAGTAAAGTAGCAGATCTGCCGTTGTCGTGGTGCGCTGTGCCCTACTAGAATCGCAAAAGCTAGACCTTTGCATTATTCCAGAGCTCAGAATGTGACACTGTGGAAGGAGTACATTTTGTTTCTCACAGCAGCATAGCACTATAATTGCTATAACCCTGTATGCATTTTGATTTTGAAACGGTACTGAAGTTAGTGAACAATGAAAGTACAACCTTATAATCATCTTGTTTAATGCATAAAAGCTAGACCTTTGCATTATTCCAGAGCTCAGAATGTGACACTGTGGAAGGAGTACATTTTGTTTCTCACAACAGCATATCACTATAATTACCATAACCCTGTATGCATTTTGATTTTGAAATGGTACTGAAGTTAATGAACAATGAAAGTACAACAATGCATGGTTGTTCACTCTTGTCCTGGACACAGCAGAGTTAAAATATTCTTATCAGTTCATTTTAGGAAAACAGGCATGCCTGTATTGACACCAGATGAAGACTAATTCCAGATGTGTGAAAGTGCTGGTTATGGTGTCTTAGCATGATGGAAAAGCCTTCTGCATATATTTAAAGACACATTGTTTTGCATGATATAAGGCTGAATCTCGTGCGTTAAAATCAAGCCCCAGAACTATATCCTGGTAAACCCTGGCACAAATGTAGTAATGACTCCCAGTTCTATTTTGGTTCTCACCATCTCCTCTAAATCTTCCTTCACACCTGTTATTTTCTCACTACAGCCCATTTTCTAAAAGGTCGCTTCCCCATTCCAAGTTTCCATACCTGAGAAATTAACCATGTTACCAGTAGTGGGAGAGTCGCTCTCTGCAGAAAAATATAGTGGGAATGGGAGAAAATTCCATATTCCCTACCTAGGTTCTCCATTTTTCTTTAAATTACATCCTACCTCTGATTTACCTCTGAATGAGGAGACACAAATTTAAATTTACAAATCTTCCTTCTTGGGAATGTTTTTCCTCCCTTGAATTTCAGTTCTAGCAACTAGCACAGTGATAAAAGCATTGTGTACATTTGGGGTGTGTGTGACGAAATCTGGGAACAATTAATGATATTATTTTTTGAGATAATTACTTTTCCCCATTCAGTGAGAAATTCTTATTTAAAATAATGATCTCTCTTTTTAAAATTGTCATAATGAATGGAATATAAAGAACAGCAAAGACTAAAAATCATGGAAGTTGCATTGATTTCTTTAAAACACCAGTTGTTAACATTCCTGAAATGCCTTTAGTTTCTCCCTGTTAAATCACCCAGCTCCATTATGTCTGAACACTTCACAGTGGCATCCAGATTCTTTTAATAGAATGGAAAGGGTGTTTTGTTCCTGCAACAGCTGTGAGATGAGGCAGCTGCTGCTTTTTCTTACCCATTTAGAAGGGTCACAGAAAAAGCCAATGTTGAAGACTCAAGTGAAAAACATCCTTTCATAGTGGCATTTGTCCATCTTGAAATGGTGTTAATGCTTGCTAAAGCAGATTGCAGATGCCAAGGCATCCACTGGGCCTAAAATCTGGTCAGTCCAACTCCATTCCTCAAGCAGTACAGGATTTACTTCTAATCATAATCTCTTGCTTAAAGATAACCAAGAATCATATTGACAGTTATTCACTGTTGTTGCTATTTAAAGAATAACTCCTACACAGACTATGCATAGACTGAATTCATATGCTGTTTCCCTACAAAATGATATCCTAAAAGCAATTAATTAATAATTATGTGCTGTTGATTCCAACTTATGGCAATCCTTTCCATGGCTTTCTGTGTATACAGTACTCAGAAGTGTTTAACCGTTCCTTTTTATCTGGGAGTGCTCTAAGTTTGTCTAAGGGTACACAGGCTGTTTTTTCTCCCAGGAGGTAAAACAATCAACAGAAGACACTTGGATAAGACAGTTGGACAGTACCAAAGCATGAAAGACACAAGGGAGAAGGCCCTTGAAAATTTAGAATATTAATGGAATGAATCAACTAACTAAAGGAAGAGAGTTGTTGGCTTAAAAGAAAAGAAATAAGAATGGTGTTGTTTTCATTGAGAAGACACATTGGTTATAGAAGCATGTAGGATATTTAGGAAAAATGCCTTAATTGTTCCATTTACAGTGCAAAATATTTTTACCATCTGGCTGGTTGGGTAGATTGTCTATTCTTGGGGACACATCAATGGTGTGGTTAGTGATTTCCCCCTTTTATATGGATAGGTGTGATTCTGAATGTGAGATTGGGGTATGTGCTCCAGTAATTACTGCCTCCTGTAATCTTAGTGAAAAAAGGACTATGGGAAGTGGTAGGTCTTTCGTTTATACTTACATATATACAAAAATTAGTTTGAGATTTTTAAAAAATCTATGGAATATTTTCAAGGTTATGAGAAGGGAACATTAATGTCCTTAGGTTCCTATGTGAAAAAAGGTAAGAAATGGAATGCAAACATTATTAGGAACATATTTGAGTTGGAGGGGAAAAAAGAATGCAGTCAAGTCATTCTGGTAGTACAGGTGCTGCAAGAGAACAATATCCTGCTCTATATTATGCAACCTTAAAATAGTGCCTTTGGCTATATTTAAGTGATCAAAAGGAGGTTAAATCAGCATGTGAAAAAGAACCTCTTTTGTCCTGGATTTAATTAACCCCACAGTTCTCTCTCTCCCCCCCCCCGAACAAATTTAGACACACATAAACATGTGCCAGAAATATCTTGCAGCTAGAGACAGTAAGAGTTATTCACACAGATGATACAGACCATCTTATCTCTTAGTCAAATGTGGTCTGCTAGTGTAAAGATGCATCTTGTGGAACTCCAGTAGTGTCCTGTGTATTTAGACTATATGCTTGCTCAAGTGGAAAGAAGTTTAATGGAATTTTCTACTCAGTGGAAAGCGTGAGATATATTAGAAAGCTCTGTGGCCCATACAAAGTAAACAATTCTGCATTCTCAATTGAACAAAGTGCATCACAGATTATTGTGTCATCAGTAATGAAAAATCTCTTGGACTTATTAAGCAAACAGAGGTAGAAAACTGATTTTTAAAATCTTATAAAAATATTATGGCATATTGTATGAATGTGATACAGCTAGTACCACCGTGGTTACATTGGTGTTCAAGGCTTGAGTCACAACAGAGAAGACCTTTTGCAGTGTGTGTTTTAGGCATCCATCATATTACCTCTAGTGGAGTGGTACATTCTAAATGATCTTTCAAGTATGTATTTCCTGAACTTGATTCCTGAGGTGGTGATCTATCACTAGCAGCTTCTAACTGGGACTGATCAATATTCACTGATTCGTACATTTATTTGTGCCCATTCTTCAGGAGGATAGTCACATCCTTGACATGCCCATTCATTGGTACTCAAATTTCAAAGCAAATTTAACAGTTTCTGTTTGGCAAATTATCTGAAGAATTTTAAGGAAAGCTTCACACCACAAAGAGGTCCCACAGAAGGTAGCAAATGTCTTTAATAGGAAATTTGGTTTATAACCAAAGCAAGAGGTGATTGTTAGGTGGGTCTTTTGGGTTTATAACCAAAGCAAGAGGTGATTGTTAAATCCCTGTGCCACCCCACTTAGGTGGGTCTTTTGTAAGCTATGTAAGTGTGCTGCAAACTTAGAATCATTTCTTTCCAAGGAGCAATGCCTCATTATCATTCATGAATACACAGCCACCATATAATCCTTCCCAGCTGTACCAATGTACCCCCTCAGGCATGGTTGGTGTTGCCTAGAAAACATAGTGGACAAACTGTAAATTTGATCTGCGATAGAAGGCATGAATTGGCTTTGACAGTTAGTTCAACTACAGCCAGAAGAGATACTTACTTTATTTATTTCTAGAAAACTCAATGAAGTGCTTCAAGCTCATAAAGCTTCAGCCAGAAATGCAGGTCAGTTTAATGAATCCCCCTTGGCAGGAAACAGAATGTGATTGCAATGGAGCATGAAACAGCACTGCTCTAAGAAATTATATGTGGTTTTGCTTTAAAAAAATCAAAACTGCATTTTTGGAGGGATCTCTTGATCATTCAGTGACTGAAAAATGCGCATTTGGCAATAAATTAATGACTGGTTGAAATCACCTTTTAGAAAAATAGGCTGAAGTTCTGTTGCTTTGTTACACAGGCAGAAGGAAAACAGTGTAACATTTACGCATTTCCAGATGGTAATTAAAGACTTCCTGTTGGGATTCTCCGGTGAATGCCAAGCCCCCAAGCATCACAGCTGGATTGCCAGCTGGGAGCATGTGAATGTTACACTGTTTGCTTTCCACCTGTATAACAAAGCAGTAGGATTTAAGCCACAATGTATATTAGAAGGTTTGGTTTAATTTCTAAACTTTCTGAATAAAACTGATAGTCAGTTTTTGTGTGTTTGCAGTTTTGTTTCCACAGGGTAAATAGAAAAGAAGTTCAAATTTCTCTCTCTCTCTCTCTCTCTCTCTCTCCCGCTCCCTCTCTGCCACCTCCTACTCATTTTTTCCACTCTCCTACAGTTGGGATGACAGCAGTTCAGTTAGCAGTGGACTCAGTGATACTTTGGACAACATCAGCACGGATGATCTGAACACCACATCGTCAATCAGTTCTTACTCCAATATTACCGCCTCTTCAAGAAAGAATACACAGTGTCATGTAGGTGTTGCAGTTTGTCTCTTTCTAGATGTGGTAAGATGATGAATCCCAGTAACAGCTTCATTACGACCTTTGTCATCACACAAATGCAAATAAGCAATTTCCTTTGCCTTTCCATTTTTTATTTGTACCTTTCTGTTTTCTAGTTTTGCTTGCTTGCTTTCATTTCTAATAGCCACAGTTGTTGTACATCTGTCCCATTGCAAGTTATAAATATAATTATGACAATCTTGTGACACAGAGATGGCATGAAAATATAGCAAAACTGTTAATTGAATCAAGGCAAGCAAATGGCCCCCTTCTGTGTATAGATCTTCACGTAGTAGAGAGGACAACCTAACTCCTGATCAAGAGCCTGTGGAGAGTCATAAACACTGTTTGAGCTTAATGACACCATCACATCTTCTATTGATCATACCATGAGATTTCTAAGAATCCATGGAGATGTTCTGTACTGCACTGGGGGAAGGGATGAAAGGTATAGTGTCATCATTCTATTACAACATATTATATCATTCTTTGTAAATGTAACCACCAGGTGAAAAAGTAAAGTTCTAAGTAAAGGCCAATTCCTTCTAGCTATTTCCAGGAGCAGCTGTCTCTCATATTGGTACATTAATATGTCAATTGAAACCTATATTTCAGTTGAGCTGATTATTGGAGTACATGTGATATTTGTGAGCATATGGCAAATCTTCCTAAAATTGACTCAGCTAGTAGTCCCCTGTTTTCTGGGTTTTCTCATACTCTGTAAAATAAAAGAAAGGCACACTGAAGAATTGCATTTTGAAGGCACCCAAAAGCCATTCTCTTACGTTTTATGTGATTGTGTATTCTTTCACCCAGTGCAAGACAATTAGCATAAGGTAGGGGCTAAGCGAAGCACTTTACTTATATTCCATGTAAGTTTCAAAGGCATTCAGTCAAAAGTCTATTCCCTCACATTTCTGCATCAGGAATTAAACAAATATGAAAAAATCCAGATTTATTTTCATATGCAGTTTTCCTTAACGTGCACATTTCTGTAAGTCATTTTCCCCAGTGTGCATGTCTTCGTATATAGTTCCCTACATATGTACATTTCAATCTGAAAGAACAGCGTCACAAAATTAGAAGAGTGCAATCAAAATTATAGCTGTATTTGAATTCCTGTATTAGTCTTGTAACTGCAAACTGGGTCACTTTGCTCAGAAATGTGGATCAGGCAGCATTCTTCTCATTCCCAAGTATAAGCAGCATTTACTGGCAACTGTCACCAGTTATAAAAATTGCCATTCCTTATTAAGAGTTGTTTATAACAAGTGGAATACTCCAGCCAAGACCCAGCCCATCTCAGGCACATCTGTAACATGCATCTGTGTAGATGATTGCCATCAAATGGGGATGGAAATCATGAAGCTGATGGGCTACATGTGGCCCTCCCCAAGGTGGATTTTCCCACTTTTTCTCTTAAAGACAGAAGCTTCCAGGGCCAATGTGAATCTCCTCTGAAGCAAAATGTGGGCTATCTCACACTTGGTTTTACCTAAAAAAACAAAAACCCTCATTAACAAAAGAATGGCATTTTGAAACAGGAAGCAGTCTTCTAGTTTCTTTTGATTTAGATTTAAAAGGCTGCTGAAGTTTTTGGAGGGTCTTGGACTTTGGGAAATGGCCTCTGAACCCACCTACACCCTGAACCTGCACATGTCTGTCATACAACCAGTGGTGCCCTATATACTTCATGTTCCCCATGTGCATGCTTCCCATGGGCATGTATGCAGTCAGCAAGAGGATGGAGGGCAGGGTGAACAGATTCCAGTGTTTGGGGGTGGGGAAGAGTACTTACCCACACATCTGAGAGCTCCATGCCAAGGTTATCATGACACCCCCATTTTTCTTTTTACTCAGATAGGTTGGGTGGGGAGGTAATTTTGCCATGTTCTTTGGTTTCTTGGCTTCCATTAGACCCAGGGGGGGATCAAAAGTAAAAGTGACTGAAAATCTCATTCAGTGTAAACAGCTTGATAGGGGCACAAGAAGATTGCCTTCCTCCTCCACTAACTCCTGGAGGGTACATAATTTGTGTGTGTGTGTGTGTTCTTTTATTTCCTGGCGTGATAGGGCTATAGATGTTGGGGGGGCTGCACTTGGGTCCATGGAAGGCCCATGGGATGCATATTGCCTCTCCCCAATAGAAGGGTTGGAAGTATATATGACATTCCACACTTAGTTTGATAAGAGGGCATGAGTAAATTGTGCCATGTGGAGTGGCAAGCTTAGAACTGTTTTGCCACTTACATTCTGTTATGCTAGCTGGACATGTAACCAGGAGTAGCAAAAATGCTCACTAGCTTCCTCTTCCCATTGATTGAAGCTATTTCACACAATGAAATACTTTGACAAGGAATTTCAAAGCCTCGTAGGATTCATATGCATAGGACGTCTGGATTTCTTGAACTTTAGCCGTCAAAATCCATCAGGAATTCCCCCTGCCAGAATTCTGGGGGATTCAGCCAACAAATCAAAGTCCTCACAGAAGTTTTCAGTTATGCACAGATGGGGAATAAAGGCTTAGCCTTTTTTTTTCTGTGATGAGTGGCTAAGCTCCATGGAGGGCTGCAAGGGACTGTGGGACTGGTAGTCTCTCTGGTCATTAGGCTTTTTATAGTGTGTCAGAACTCCCCATCCCCTGGTCCTATGGAACTCCCACAGAGCTTAGTCACTCACACCCATTTCCTGTGTCTTCTTCATAGGAACAAAATGGCTAATGATGCTTTCATTCCCCATCTGTGCATAACTGGAAGCTCCTGTGAGGACTAAATTTCTTGGCTAAAGCTTTCAGAATTTTGCCTGGGGAAATTCCTGGTGAATTCTGAAGCTGAAGGCCAAGAAATATGGAAGGCCATTCCTGGAACATCTCCTTTAGTAACCAATATGCACACAGCCAGCAAAGAGGGACCACTTGGTTGTTAAATGAAGCGCAAACAACTCATGTGTTGCTTCCAATTCTTAAATAAAACAGCAGTCATCCTTGTTTAAGGCAAGCTATAGACTTGCAAAAACTGCAAGAATTATGCAGGTTTGTTGTTTCGGCCAAAATGAGCACATTTGTGCAGTTCCCCCACCCTACAAAAAAAATCTTATTGTCATTATAAGAACCCTGATAAAAACAAAACAAATCCTCGCCATCATTGTCATTATAAGAACCCTGATAAAAACAAATCCTCGCCATCACCACTGCTAGTCCTTCTTTTGGTGACATTCTGTGATTGTACAGCTTGCCTAAGCTTGCCACACACACTCTGGATGATCTCAGCTGACTCTTCTTTCAGGCTCTGCCTCCAGGCACTCGAAACAACAGAGCTATCCCATCTCCAGTCATATCTACTGAGGGTTAATATCATCAGTAGGCTTAAGTTTTTGTAACTGGAATTCAAGATTCTTCTCTGCTTCTTTGTATAACTTTCAAGTACTTTGAACCAGTGATATTAAGCCATGTTTTGGGCATAAGAGGGCGGAATCAGTTTAGCCATACTTAGAGTAGAACCATTGAAAATAGTGGGGTGTAAGTATGTCACTTAACTTCAGTGAATCTGCTGAAAAAATCTGAATTTAATTCAGAATCAGGATTACGGAGAATAATATTGGAACTTGACATCACTTTTATCACTTTTGTTCTTTCTACCATCTGTGGGAACTGCTATTTCAGACCCTCTTCATCTCTGCTAGCGCTCTCATCAATCTCATTCAGGATTTGGAAAATATGAAGAAAATCAACATCCTTTTTTTTAATTCTTTGGCATTTGTAATTTTTTTTTTGAAAAGTAGTATCACCTTTGAGAAAAATCCCTATAATTACTCTGCTAATAGCAAAGTGTGCTGTTTCAGAAAATTATTGGGATACTCTTTCTCAGATAAACTATTACTCATTTGGAGAAATGTTGGCATGTCTGTCTGTCTATATGTAAAAATCGATATAGATTAGAGATACAGATGTAACAATAATAATCGTGCCATCAAGTCAATTCCGATTTATGGTGACCCTTTTCAGGGTTTTCTAGACAGAAATACTCAGAAGTGGTTTACCATGCTCTTCTTCTGGGGACATTCGGGGACTGTGCAGCTTGCCCATGGCTACATAGGATGGTTTTACTTCCAGGATATAGATGATATTTCTCTTCCTAATCCTTGAACTCACACAGCATAAGAAATGACTGTCAAGGGTAACCATGGCAAAGTTTTAACGCTACTCATTTTTTCATAGGTGAAGATAGATTCAGAAAAACATTCAGTAATAGATGGAGAACCATGGGGCAGCAATGAAGAACTGAAGAAGCCAGAAGAAGATGTAGATGGCAGCATTGAGAACAGTGGCAAGTGGAAGGGCCACCCCCCTGGACAGCTTGAAGATACTGAAAAGGGAGGGCAGAAAGCATCACTCCCTGTCTCCCAGACAGGGTCTTGGAGAAGAGGCATGACTGCACAAGTAGGATCGGCACCATCAAGGAGCAAAACAGGAGCGAGTTCTCTGAAGACACCTGGTAGGAAAGGAGTTCAGTTATTGTGCCTGTAGGCTGTGTTTCTGCTCATTGCCCTAAGCCACCATCCTCATTACAAGAACGTTAGAGTGGGGCTTAGGAAAAGTCTATATCACATCATTTTGTTTTTCAACAGAGAAAGCCAGCCATGTGGAATTAGAGTTATTGTGTAAATAATTGCTGTACATCAAATACATCAGCTGAATGATAATTCAAAACACTCAATGCTCAGACTTGATAAAAAGAAAGTTAGACCTTTGTGGAAAACTACTCTTATAGAATATAGAATGTATTATTAAGCATGATTATGTATGCACTGAATTCCTTCATGTGTATTCCTTTTAATTTCAGTTAGGAGAACAACTAAGTTCTTCTTTAGAAAGGCACATAGGAAGTATCATTCTTTATAGAGATGCATGGATGAGATCTAGTGAGGCACAGATAATTTCCTTCTGACCTGTGCCAGTTTTGCATGTGTTATTTCATAAATCAGTTCTCTTCCCTGCGTATAAGACATAACCTGAAAATAAGCCCTAGTATGATTTTTCAGGATGCCCTACCCCGAAAATAAGCCCTAGTTAAGTGAAACCCCATCCTCCACCATTGTGCAGCATTGTGCAGCAACCAGAAGATGACATGACTGTAAAATAAAACATCCCCTGAAAATAAGCCTAATGCGTTTTTTTGGAGATTTTGAGAGAGAAAAATTAATATAAGACCCTGTCTTATTTTCGGGGAAACACTATATTTCTGCATTAAAGTGTGGATCTATATATAGAGATTTTTTATATATGTAATGTATACATACTGTGCATATCTAAACTTTTGAGCAAATTAGTTACACAAAGTATGCATTCCTAAATGTATTGTATCTAATACATTTTGTGGTGACCGTTTTGGTATGTTACTTTGAGCCAAGAATCCCATTCCCATCTGTACGCATTCTAATCTATAGGTTAGTCTGGGTGATGGAAATCAGGTTTGAGATGCAGAGAAAACAAAATTCTTGTGCACTTCAGTAAAGTTTTGTGGGCAGAATATATCAATTGCAAATTCTTTCTGGCTCTGGACATATATTAATGGCTCTGGACATATATTAATTTTTTTGAAAGAAAAGATTAAAATGGCCCAGCATTTTTTGTGTGTGTGTCTAAGCCTGAGGCATGTTTAATTCCACCTAAGATGGAATGTCTCATAAATTGCTTTTTCACAGGTCCTGCTTGCTGTATTCTCTCTACTGCCCTATCTCCTGGCCATGCACAGATCATGGTTTGAATGGAGAGGCACCTCACCCCTCCACCTCTGCGTAAGGTGCCCCCCCATTAGACCATAGACCACTGTTGGTCATGACCTAAATGAGATCTAAAGTGGATAGTTTGTTTGTGTATTTTTATATTCTTTTACCATATGTCATTCTGTTGCAGCCGCTGCATTAATTTAGTGCATTTTAATTGTGAATGAAGCATGCAGATATCTGTGGCTGATTTAACACTGATTATAGAATTCTATGAATAAGCCAGATCTTCCAGACAAATTGTGTCTATTGATGAGATAAGCACAGTTCCTATTCCTATTCTACCTAGGGATTTTACACATCTTGCCCTATCAAAAAGAAACTAAAATTGAGATCAAGTAGACCTCTGCTTTCTTATAAAACAAAAAAAACCCCAAAATTCTTATTCTACTGATACATGAAAATGACTATCTATATATCTATATCTGTATCTATATCTGTATCTCTCTCTCTATCTGTCCGTCCGTCCGTCCTTCCTTCCGTCCGTCCGTCTGTCCATCTGTCTGTCTGTCTGTCTGTCTGTCTCTCTCTCTCTCTCTCTCTCTCTCTCTCTCTCTCTCTCTCTCTCTCTCTCTCTCTCTCTCTCTCTCTCTCTCTCTCTCTCTCTCTCTCTCTCTCTCTCTCTCTCTCTCTCTCTCTCTCTCTCTCTCTCTCTCTCTCTCTCTCTCTCTCTCTCTCTCTCTCTCTCTCTCTCTATCTATCTATCTATCTATCTATCTTCATGCAAACAAAGAATACTGCTATTAAAACTGTACTTTTTGTTAGGAAAAACCGATGATGCAAAGGCCTCAGAAAAAGGAAAAACTCCCCTCAAAGGAGCTTCTATCCAACGTTCTCCTTCAGATGCAGGGAAAAGCAGTGGAGATGAAGGGAAAAAGCCTCCTTCAGGCATTGGGAGATCAACTGCAACAGGTTCCTTTGGTTTCAAGAAAGCTGGTGTTGGCTCTTCAACGATAATCACTGCAAGCGGTGCAACTATAACAAGTGGTTCAGCAACTCTGGGGAAGATGCCCAAGTCTGCAGCCATTGGTGGGAAGTCAACCGCAGGGAGGAAAACCAGCTTAGATGGGTCACAGAATCAAGATGACGGTGTGCTACATGTCAGCTCAAAGACCACCCTGCAGTACCGAAGTTTGCCGCGTCCTTCGAAATCTAGTGCCAGTGGGATTCCTGGTAGAGGTGGGCATAGATCCAGCACCAGCAGCATCGACTCCAATGTCAGCAGCAAATCTGCAGGGGCCGCTGCCTCCAACAAACTGAGGGAGCCCACAAAGATTGGCTCAGGGCGCTCCAGTCCTGTGACCATCAACCAGACGGACAAAGAGAAAGAAAAGGTGGCCGTGTCTGACTCTGAGAGTGTGTCATTGTCCAGCTCTCCGAAATCAAGCCCAACCTCAGCCAGTGCCTGTGGAACAACACCAGGCCTCAGGCAGCCAGGGTCCAAATACCCTGACATTGCCTCGCCCACATTTAGAAGGTGAGGGGTTTGCTGTGAAAGGTATTCTTCTACTTGCCTCCCTTCCTAGAGTGGTGAATGGTTCCAAAGGTATTCCATTTCTTGAGACCATTGGCAGTTTATGGTAGTTTGTAAGATCTGAATTAAAAATACTGGTGGAGGTAAACAGTTCGAATGTTGCAACAGCAAAATTCAATCTGAGTGCATGATGATGGGTCAATCTGAGAATATATTTATCACAATTTTTTTTTGCAAATGTGCAAATACTGACAGATGTCTGTCTTTGTCATGTGATTGTCTTATTTCAAACGTCAAACTAGACAAGTATGTTTAAACACATATATACTTAACAATTAAACTAATCCTTGTAAACTGGTGAAAAACATCTGTTTCTCATAGCATATATTTTTTCTCACCTCTAGTCTTGCATCTAGTTCTATTTTGTTTTGTGACTGGTTGCTAGAAAGTAAACACAGACTTAATTTGCAAATCTTACTGCTGACGTATGTATCTCAGAATAAATCCCATGAGTGAGGAAATACCCTTGTAGATGGGAAAATTGATTAATTAGAAGGAAAATGTGCTCTCTTTCTCACAGCAGATAATTGAAGTACAGTAGCAGTGTAGTATCTTCAGGGGGTTGATTCAAGCCTCCCGTGGATGGCAGAAAACACAGAAATAGTGAACATTATGCATGGCTTAGTCTCTGGCACCCTCTAGTGGCCAGTTCTAATAAACATGTTTCTGAAACATGCATTTCGGGGGTTTTTTACTTAATAATTTCAAGCAGCGGATAAGTGAATATGTGTCTACTGATCCCATGAATAGGGGTCCTACTGTATGTGATTCAGTTTCGCAAGATGTGGCGAGGGCCCACAGTTCGAATGTTGCAACAGCAAAATTCACTGTCCCACAGTAGTTCTCAAAAGGGCTTTAAAGCAGTTCCAGATAAACTAATGAAGGATAAGGTTATCAATGGTAGATTACCAAAGGAGTATACAGTGGTGCCCCGCTTAACGATTACCCAACTCTACGATGAATCTGCTTCATGACGATGTTTTTGTGATCACTTTTGTGATCTCAAAACGATGTTTTAATAGGAAAACTCGCGTGACGATGATCGGTTCCCTGCTTCAGGAACTGTTTTTTTGCTTTACGACGATCTAAAAACAAATGATTGTCGGGTTTCAAAATGGCCACCTGCTGTGCAAAATGACTCCTCGCTGTTTTCAGGGCTGCTTTTTCGCTTTACAGGCATTGGAAAATGGCCACCCTATGGAGGATCTTCGCTGGACGATCAGGTATTTCGCCCATTAGAACGTATTAACTGGTTTCTAATGCATTCTAATGGACTTTTTACTTTCTCTTGACGACTATTTCGTTCTGCAGCGATTTTGCTGCAACAGATTATCGTCATCAAGCGGGGCACCACTGTATATTAATCAGGGTTAGACCACTGAGGCTAAGTCTCAGGATGCCAAATTTAGACCATGGTGGTTTGCCCTGTCCTCTGTTGATCCTCCTCAGTGGTGAGCCAAAACTTTGCACATGACAGAAGACCCTGGTAAATGAGAATGTTTGTTTAAATTTGTAATGTCAGAAGTGTGTGTGGCAGACCCTGAAGAAGTGACACTGATAAGCTGATTCTAAGGCGGGAAGAAGGTGGTTGATAGGATGTTGCCTATTCAGAAGAGTTGATGACCAGCTTAGTTGGATCTTAAAAAATAAATAAATCTAAGTTTTATTCCTTATGTAAAGTTACTCCCCGTATATAAGAGATGAAGTAGGCCATGTTTGTTTCTTGCTCTGATGCCATGATCGCACAGGAAAAAAGATTACACTCTGGACCACTTGTGGATTGGTCTTGTTCGATCTTTTCCCTGACGATCACACAACATACAGGGGAATATGCTCCAGTCTGAAGCCAAACTTTTCTCAAGCAGGATTCTTCTCAGGCCTCTACTCTTTGGAGCCAGGCTGAAGTGATTCCCAGGCAGGTGGAAAATCTGTTTTAACAAAGATCATTTCCATTAAATGACCCTTAGTGCAATCGAGTGTGCACCTTTGCAGCTGTCTGATTGTACCCCAGGTTTCATTGTGCTTCTTTTTAAGTATCCATATCTGTAGTGCTGCCAGGATGGGGGGAGGGAATAAGTTCTCTTGTCTTGGGTGACACTTGGAATTGCGTCTTTTCTCTTTTCTGCTGTCATGGCTTATTTGATTTCTCAGGATTTTTTTACCAATAGTTTGAATAGTTTTTTTTTTTTTTTTTTTTGTAACTCATTTTGGATTGGGGGTGCTTTGTAGTCACTCCTGGATGCTTGATATTTTTGCCTCTTTTCAGAATTCTTGTGTAACCCCATCTTTTTATTTAAAAAATTCCTGGATTAGACATTTGTTTCCTTAATAGAACTGGAAGGCTATGGGAGGTTAGATATGCAAGCTCCTGTGTCTCCATTTCCTGGCCCTCTGATTAAGCCAAGAGCCAAGGCCTCTTTGCGAGTGAGCCTCGAGTCCATTTGGAAACTCAAATAAAAGGTTAATTTCCCCAAACCTAAAGGTATGCCATCCCCCGCTGCAACACAAATTTCTCTTTCGATGTATAATTAAGCAAGTTTTTTGAGGCAGTCTCAGCACATCTGATGTCAAACATGTGGATTATCTACGCAGTGACGATCACCCTGCTAAGAGGTATTATCACTTTTTTTACTGAGAAGAGCACTAAGAAAGTGGAACAAATCTACATTTGTTAAATTATAAATAAGACAAATAAATAAAAATAAATAAGAAAATGAATAAATAAATTCTTGCAAATGGGGTTGATGACTTTTAGATTTTTGTGTGAATGTTGCAACCCTATTGCCAACCAAGAGAAATTACAATATAAGTGACTGCATGATAATGGTAAACACCCCAAGATGTACCCAGAGAGATTTAATCAACTTTGAAGACTTGTGTTTCTGCCAGTTTTAAACCCTTCACCACACCCACATTAGGGATGATGGTTCCTCTAATCGGACTGTCTATCCTCCCTCAGCTACTTATATTGCTGCAAGCCTTCAGTCTTAACGAAACACATCCCATGATTTCTGTTGTTCCCTTCTCCACCAGGATTCAGGATGAGTTGTAAATTCAGTTAAGGACACTGAAGGATTTGTTGCTGGCTTCTAGAGTTCATCATGAGAAGGCAGGACCAGCAAGTGGCAGGAAATTAGGTGGACTGACTCCACAGAGGAAGCCAGACTTGAGTTCAACAAGAGCTGAGCAGAGCTATGGAGGTCACTCATTCATAGCCTTGCCATAAGTCAGAAGTAACTTGATGGTAACAAGTCACAAGTAACATAATACACATTGTAGGGTTCAGGAAGATGGTTTAATATATAATGTAAAGGAAGAAGGTGTAAATACTCAGAGAAGGGCATAGTAGCCACCATTTTGGGCAAAACGTGAGTAAAAGAAGTCCAGGGACTCCCCCCTCTCCCCGACAACACTCACATACTGTCATTGGGTCTGGTGAACTTTTTCTCCTTGTCATTGTTTATATTCAGCTGTGTGTTAACAGGATTGAGATAAAGGAACTATGGAATAGCTTGGTGACATATCTAATTTGGAATAAATATATACTTTGCAATAAAATCATTGTGTGAATTGGGGGAGGGGGGAACAGTTTCAGAAACCCACAGCCTCTTTATGAGAGCCTGCTTGCCAGCTGTTCTGCAAGGAAAGGAGAGCAGTGAGGAGAAACAGGGCTAAATCCAGTCATGAACAGCTGACTGGTGCTATTTAGACTATTGAAGTGAGGCAGCAGCTCCACCATAGCTGGGGATTGTAGAGTCTGCAGAACAGCTGTTTCAGTATGTATCCCCCTTCTCGCTCACTGCAACTACCAGTCAATATGCAAAGCGCACCTGAACGCCTGCAGTGATATCCATGTTGACGGGCCCTCACATGAGCTGGACTGGGGAGAGGAGGGAATTTTGCAAGTAGAGGGAAAGGCTTACATGAGAGGACTTGATATTCTTCAACAGAACGGAATAGCTTTATGGTGAAGAATTATAAAAGAGCAAAAGACATTTTTGTAGTGGTTTGTGATCGCTCTTCCTTTAAGAATAAGAAACTGAATGTTGTAGTGAACAGCTTTGTAATATGCATCATATTGAAGCATGAACCGTTTTAGCTGCTTCGGAAATAATCTGCAGTAATTGCTTTATCCAGATAAGTACAATGCTGCCCTCTAGTGGCCAATTGCCAGCATACTATTTAACCTCCAGAGTGGTCTGATACCCTATTCTATGTTGCTTTTGCTATAAATAAATGTTGTGTTTTGTACCCTTTGTTCTTTTAAAGCATTGTACTATAAATTAAAAAAATCCTCAGCTGCTTTGTGATATGAAATATTCCAGTCCTTTAGAAATGTAAACTAACTCCCTCTCTCCATTTTTCACATGTAAAAACATACGGAGAACAGCTTAAGTTGGTGTATTGCATAAAGTACGGTCACTTGGGGGGGGATCAATATTCCTGAGTTTGAGGGGGGAAATACTATATACAACCATTGTGTTATCATTGAATATCAAAATGTTTTAAGTTAACTGTTGGAAACTTTGGAACTAGTTGCTCACTTAGGGTGAAAGTTTAATCTCTTTATGCAATCATATAATACATGATTGTTGTCCTTTTTAATCTCCCTGAGAAGGTCTGTACTTCTTAGAGGAGAAATCTTGAATGAATGCTTTGAAATAGTAAGATAAGTACATCCCAATAACACAGGATTTAAGTGGATTTGATTGTGAGAATCAGTTAATTGGGGAAAAGGTCTTGTATTAGTGGATATAATTATGGTTCTTTCTTGGCTTCAGGATATTATTATGGGGAGCTTAGCGGCTTCTAACACTAATGTTGTTTGTTTCCTTGCTTGTAGGTTATTTGGTGCTAAAGCAAGCGGCAAAGCTGCGACCGCACCAAATGCAGAAGGTGCGAAATCCACGTCCGCTATGCCCAGTCCAAGCACAACGTTAGCTCGGCAAGGCAGTCTGGAGTCTCCATCTTCAGGTACAGGAAGCATGGGCAGCGCAGGTGGCCAGAGTGGTGGCAGCAGCCCCCTCTTCAGCAAACCCTCAGACTTAAATGCAGATGTTGTGAGTTTAAGTCACTCCTTGGCTTCCAGCCCAGCATCTGCCCACTCCTTCACATCAGGCGGTTTAGTATGGGCTGCAAACCTGAGTAGTTCTTCTGCCGGCAGTAAAGATACACCGAGTTACCAGTCCATGACCAGCCTCCACACAAGCTCTGAATCTATTGACCTCCCTCTCAGTCACCATGGCTCCCTCTCTGGATTGACTACGAGCACTCAGGAAGTGCAGAGTCTGCTCATGAGAACTGGAAGTGTGAGGTCTACTCTTTCCGAAAGGTGAGTTAATGGGCAGAAGTCTAATCATAACTGAGGCAGGAGATATGGCAGCAGCCAAACATAACATCTTCAAACATGCCTTAAGGCAGGTGTATGATGAACACTGAAGCAAGATCAACAATGTTTCCCATGGCAGAGGGAGGAAACGTAAACTGACTGAAAATGCCATAATCCCTTTACCTTTATTCTTCAATAATATTACAAGTATTCATTTCTCTAGTGGCTCTCAAAGAAAGGTCAAGTCTGGCAAATTTGTTGTGAAAAAGGCAGAGTTTCTACATTGTGGTCCATGTGAATCACATATGCAATGTATAGATTCTACAGAGTTTCTTTCAGAACAATACCAAAATGAATCCAGTAGAAAATAAGCTCCACTTCCCTTGTACACACTCAAGATGGTTCACAGTTTTCCACACAATTGCTTTTCAAATAACATGGCAGCAGCACTGGGTAGGACCACTTTTTGCAAATGTATGCATTGTGGGAGGACACATCTTCCTTCTGATGGCCATGTCCTCTGCCTGCAATATTAAGGCAAGGAGCATATTTATGATACCTGTGTTATCTGTTGCCGTTTCAGCACTCAAGGCAAACAAAACCATTCTTTCTGCCTTAAATTGGTCATCTGGCAAAATACTTCACAAGCCTTAGATGCAGATCCACAGGTAGTTCTTCAGTAGTTTGTTCTTGGCCACCACTTGAGCATTTCCCTCAGCCTGTCTTCTCTGCTGAGAAAGTGGAGCCAATGACTGCTCCTGTGCTAACTCTGCCTTTACCACCAGTTGTACACCTGTATTGATATAGATAATGAATGACAATGGTGCTGCTGTCTGAAATTCAGTGGATGTGTACTGCTAATCACGCCTTTCTGGAAGGATTTAGAGAATGGTTGAATATCCACAGAGACTAGGAGTGCATCGGCTTAGATAAATCAAAGAAGTAAAAAAGAAAGCATTTTTCTTCCTCGATGTTTCTAGAACAGAAAAAGAAACAGACAAAATTAAGCCTGAAAGTTTTGTAGGTTTTTGCACATCAACCCCCAGAATTCACTGGGAATCATAGACAAGAAATTAAAGCCCTCAGAGGTGTTTACAATGCCTCACAGCAGTAGGCCTCAGAAATCCTCCTTAGCTACCTTCACTTTCAATGTAAAGAAGAAGTGGCTTGGACAGGCTGAGCTGCAGGTATCTCTACAGTATTTCTGATAACTTAAAGCCAAGACATACAGGGTTTTATACGTCTCATATCCAGCACTTTGATTTGGGCCCAGGAACAGACTGACAGCCAGAGAAGTTTTTGTAACAGAGGAATTAATATGCAGCACACATGTGGCAACTTTCATTTCTCCAAGGATCATGTCCATGTCCTTTGGCTACATAGGTTGAAACATGTCCATTAGCAAAGGACAAGCAGGGGCCAAAGTTACATCCATAGAGCAGTATGAACTAGAGAATCCAAGGCACAGCAGAGCAGAGCAGAGCAACTTTGTCTGCAAAGTGCCTTGCGAATTTATCAGAGCAGGTTATTGATTGTTTGTCATCTTGTTCTTGTGACCACATATGCAATAGAATCTTGACCACTTGAAACACCTCTGCTGGGAGGCTCTGTGCAGATGCAATGGCAGCAAAATATTTTTTATTTAATTTTATTTGCCACCTTTCTCCTCATAGGGGATCCAAAGTGGCTCGCAGCAGATAAAACAACAGATTTAAAAACACTCTATAAATATATTTTAAAAACAATAGTTGATTTCTTTCTGCTGTGCCTTTAAATGAACTATAGTAGTCTGTGTTTGGTTGGATTTGCTGTGAGTTTTGCACCATAATTGCTTTAGCATCCATCTTACTTGTTTCATCATGGAGGGCTCCTTGATAAACCAGGGGGCTCATCTGGCTCCACTCCATGGTAGAGGACACTTAGGAGCAATGATAGCTATGGCCATGGCTACTTCCCCATTCGAGAGTTCAACCAGAGCTTCATCAGGATTGCCTAGCAAGGTGACCAGAAGCTTCCACACTTATTAGAACTCCTTCTGTTAAGAGCATCATTTTGAAACATTTGACTGCTTCTCCATTCTGGCTCAATAGCCAACCTGGCCAGACAACAAGGGATACTTTAAATGTGTTCTAGTAGCAACATTTATGGCTGCACCCACAGTGCCCTCTATGTTGGCATAAATACCTTTCCTCACCTCATTCATGATAGCTTCAGTAACATTTACATCCTTACAACTCACTTCAGTACTGGTGTTATCAGCCTCAATTTTCTTGGTAGATAAAGTCTTAGTGGAACCATTAACTTCTGTGGTCTGCTCTGACTTGGATGCTGTAGTTCATACAGGCCAGTGGATGTAACTTTGGCTTGTCCTGTGTTAATGGACTGTGCATTTATTTCTCGTATAGTACGCGCTATTAGCATGATGTTTGCCCATGTCTATGATGCACTGAGATCAAGATGAAAAAGAAACGATTGTGTCTTAGTTTCTTCAGGTTGTCAACTGAGCATTCACACAACCTAGGTTTTAAGCTCAGTATAGGCATCTGTGATAGACCTTGCTTAGGATCATGCTGCTAAGTGGTCATGGGGACTGAGTGGAAAGTCAGGAACCATACTTATACATAATGGAAGGACATGAGGTCCAGTCCAAAATTTCATACTCAGATGTTCTAGTAAAGACTTTGCCCAGGAGTGAACCTATCTGTGATAGAACAGATGGCCACTCAAAGAACCACAGTTACAAGCAACCAATTGATTCCTGTTATCAGGGATGTTGCTATGCATTATTTTCATTGCTGTCCATTATTTCTGAACAAGGCCAACACGTTTATGGGAAATGTTCCATTCAAGCTGGATTGCTCCTGATTTTCTTCAATCAGGCCTGAGTAATGTATGGTTGTTGGATTGTTGGATTACAGTTCACATCATCCTGACCATGTTGGGTGGTGATGCTGGAGAGTGAACTTCAACAGCATCTGAAGTTTTCCTGCTTTGCCTTAGATCTGGAAGTTACATGTATTTGTTCAGTATGTTCATCTGAAGGATTCTACATATTTGCCTTTTAGCAAGTGTGACTCTATGTACATAGAAAGCATTATAAATTACTATTGAAATAGCTGCATAATTTAATATATCCTTAAAGAGCCTTATGTGCAGTATGTGCTGCTTTCTTTCTCCTTCCCTGAATGAGATATTTGGATGTAGGCTCATAATCTTTGCAGTCAGTGATGTTTCAAAAGTATAAAGGCAAAGCATACAGCAACAAACAACACAGATCCTCAACAAAAGTTACTTGTTTGGATTTCAGTTCCCATATCCTCCAGCTAGGGGACTGTCCCTTGCATTGGCCATGCTACCAAAGGGAATTCTGGGAGTTAATATTTTTTTAAAAAAATTACTTTTCTAAGCTCTGTACCAAGTAGGGTCCTTAAAACACAGATCTTATTTTTAAAATAAGAATTCTCATAGATCTTCCAAATCAGATCAACCACACCCCACTCCTGGTTCATCTCAATTCCAGGTACTGCAAATGATCAAAACAGAATGAAAGGCTCTTGTTCATAGAAAATGATTCATTTAACTGTGCTGTCCTGCTTATCAAAGTTTTAGGGAAAACTGAGGGAGATCTAATGGCAAAAGCCCTTTCCTCCGGCCTTTACTATCTGGTTAAAGTGAGTACCCTGAAGCAGACCTTCCATGCAGAAGTTGCTTTGTAGTTCAAACTTTGTAGTTCTACAAGCTTTCCTTTAGTCTTCTTTTTATTTCATTTGCATGAAGCTGCCGTAGGTGGAAAAAATCCTTTTAAAAATTATATAAAATATAAATGATTTCAATACATAAACATAAAACGAAGTGTAAAAGTGGCATCTTTGTTCCTAGCAATGAACATTTAGTACGTACTAACCATGTTGCCACTGATGTCAATAGTCATCCTTTCTTCCTTTTTTTCTGATGCCTTCATAAAGTCCTTGCCCTGGCTGTGCTATCAAACTGGAGTGTAACAGTGAGGAACATCCAGGTTCTCTGTTCAGACGTTTTCCTTGATGTACAAATCCAGTTATGCATCCATAAGCAGACATTGTGAAAGTCATGCAAAATGGGGGGGGGGGAGGCAGGTCCAGCGTGTCCGAAGCCCTCAGGAGCTCTCTCTCCTCAGACACATGAAGTCTGTGCACAGAGGCGGAAGCATGAACAGAGTTTATGTAATTTTCAAATGTAGCAGAGCAGTTTTTAAAAACAGTAAATTGTAATCATGTAAATATCTATCACTTGTAAGCCAGATGAACAAAAAATGTTTAGTATATACCGAACGGGAGCTATTCCTTGGACTCTTTAAAAAAAATCTCAGTTCTTTAAAATGATTTAAGATACAAATCTACAAAACAACAGTCAAACAGTATAATAGTGGGAAAAAATCCAGGTTTTGCTAAGCCTGTTCAGACCTTTCCCTTACTGTTTAGATGCAATTATTTGTCCCTAAACAGGCATCCTGAGAAAGAGATGAACACTGGAAGGCAGTAAGATATTCAGCATTGTGAGCGGGGCCCTCAGGAACTCTTCCCTCTTGACACCTGCTGTCTATGTACAGAGGGGAGCACATGAACAGAATTTGTGTCACTGATATATACAATGATAGGAGGGCTTTTCAAGAATTAGAAAATTAAGAAAAATGTTTAGGGCAGAAAACCTAACTAGCAGCAGGAATAAGTATTTTACTTTTGTGCTCTATGTCATTCTCCCCGGAAGAGCTGAAATTCCGATATAATTAGGGCTGGGACAGGCCTACACAATCTTTGCACACTGTTCCTTGCTTGTGATTTTGAAGTTTTGCACACAAAGTATATTGAAAAAGTACATTAGACTAACCCCAAATAGTTTTTATGGCACAAACATTTATAAAATTTATAATTTTGAAGCATTCTGTTTACTGTATATTCTTTGGGGTTTTCTTTGTTTTAACAGCATGCAGCTTGACAGAAATACACTACCCAAAAAGGGACTAAGGTATCTGATGTTTTATTCAGCATGACTGCTGTTTTCTCTGTTGTTCTGTAACCTTTTTCTATAATATTTCATCCTTTTCCTGTCCCTGTGTATCCTGTTTTTCAAACGACTAATAGAACTTCAGATTATATTCTGTAACCCATTTTTAAAAATATAATATTTTCCTTTTAATCTGGATCTGAACAGTTGAAATACTATGTATCTGAGTAATTGTAACATTGCATTTATCCCCCCTATATTTACATTGGCAGAAATCCTGTTGATTAGCCTAGTATGTTTCGCTAGAGTATGCAGGGGATTGGGGCCTGTTCCAGTTGCAGTTTACTGACCTAAGGAATAAAGTTTCAGTCATTAGATATTTGACCTGACTGAAAAACTTTTTTCTGAAGACTGCTGGATTTTCCTCTGAATCCTCCAAATTTGTTTTGAGTCTTATTAATGCAGTCTTAGTATCTCCACGCATTGTTATATTATCCATCTGAGAACAGAACTCTCAATTTTGTTTTCAAATGTCACTTTAGAAACTGCTTTTAGTACCTCCCTTCAGGTTACCTTTCCTTTTCCTTTGCTTTCCATAGGCGGTTTCCAGTTAATGTCACTTATTATTCAAGTCAAAGTAATAATCTTTCCCAGAAATCTGGTTCATAAGGGAACCAGTGCTTTGCTTCCAGCTTTATCCCAAAGGGCAAGGTCTGTTAGGCACATTTCCTAATAATACTACCTTCATTGATATTTTCAAGACCTAAGGCTTCACTGCACACTAGGGTTGCCATCCTCTTGAACCTGCAAATTAAAACTGGGTTTCCATGGGAGCTGGGAAAGAAAGGGGAAAAATGAGGAACTGGTCCCAGGTTCCCCCACTTAACCACATATCAGAAACTGGATAGTACCCTTGAGTATATTGCTGTTGGCAGACTACACTATTTTAATCTGTGTTCTGAAGTCAGTCACTAAATGTAGTGCTCTTTACAGTCAGCTTTCTTCCCTTCACTCCATCCTGTAGATGCCGAAGAATCTCCCTAAGGAGCTCTGAAAGAAAATCAGTATAAACAGCATCTCCCACATGAAGAATTTGTGGTAGGGGGCTTCTTATATAGCTAGAGTTTTAAAAATCAAATCTGACTTCAAATTGTGCATGTCTATGGCTATGAGTGTCTCTTTAAAAAGGTGATACTCCAGTTTTAGCTTTCAGATATGGACACTAAGAGCCTGTCAAAATTTCTCAAAAGAACCCACAATATGTAGCATTTTAATTTTACCAGACTCAAGTCACATGATTTTTCAGTCATTTCCTGCATTCCTACTGAGTAACTAAAATATTCCCTTTTAAAACTGGCTTAAGTTGGTTAGGAAAAGTGTGCTAATATAAATGGCCTTCTGAAAATCGTTGTGTGAACATGAAACTCAGCAGAGTTTTTAACACAGGTCAAAATCCAGGTTTTTTTGACTGTATGATCAGGCCCTGAGTCTTAGATTTTCCAGTATTATTTTGCAAAACAGAGGTCCTTCTTCTTCAGGGACTTTAAACTATTGCCAAAGAAGTAAAATACAATAATGTGACAAAACTCAAAACAAAACATAGATACAGTATATACAGAGAGAGAGAGAGAGAGAGAGAGAGAGAGAAATGTATACCATACTTTTTTGTCCAAAGTTCTGCAGTTCAGAAGTCTTGTTATCTATTAACAGAGTGCTCCATTATTAAAAAGAAAATATTCCTTCCATATTTAAAGAACTACAGTAGTAATGGGCTAGCTTCTTTGTATTTGAGTGTTTACCTATCCGATTTGAAGCTCTGAAACCCTAAGATAGCTAAGCAGATTCTGGAGTTTACAAGACAGCTTGACTGCTTGAAGCCTGGCTATTTGACAGAGAAAAGGCAAGGTCTCAGCTGAAATTTGAACTATCTGAAATGCCCACACATTCTAACTGGCCACCTTAATCCAGTCAAGAATTTGCTTTTCTTAGTCCCTGCCTCACAGTCTGGTCAGTGAGCTGTAGTCCTTTGCTGCAGTTATGTTCTTGTCTTTGGCAGCAGTAACAAAAAGTAAGCGAAAGAGATTTAGTTTCCAAAGCTAATGTTCCTGCAAACGTATTTCTTTACAAGTGAGTATTTTTTTTCATCCCTTAAATCTATCCATTTAGAGGGCAGAGCAGAACTTTTCTCAAATGTAGCATTTTGTCCCATCAGATGTCACTAATAAATAAAAGCTATTTCTTTTACAGTTGCTCTATTGTTCCTGCTTCCTTTTGCTTACCTGTATACTGTGCTCTTTTATCACGTAGAAATTGGTTGCTCTTGTGTCTCATCGCTAGCAATCTGTCGTTCTTTGATTCTGTTGAGATGCTTGGAATTCAGGTTATTCCATGTCGTGTGCTGGAGTTTTAAACCCTTCTCTTAATCAATTCAGCAAATTTCTTTTCTCTGTTTTTCCAACATCACACAAAATTATTGTTTTTCTTGTCTGTCTGTCTGTTTCATGGGTGACATGAACCCAAGTAATCCTGTCCAAAAAAAAAAAAAAAATCAGCTGAAACAACTATATGATCATATTGATATCAAACTAACCTTTTGTTAAGTGCTGCTCACTTCTCGTATCTTGCCTGTGGAAGTTTTAAGGGTATCAGTGGTGGTGTTTTTCAGATATACCCCGTCCTCTCGTCAGGCCAGCCAGGAAGAAGGGAAAGAGTGGCTGCGTTCCCATTCTACTGGAGGGCTGCAGGACACCGGGCAGCAGTCTCCCTTGGTATCTCCTACGGCCATGTCCTCCTCTGCAACTGGGAAATATTTTTCAAACTTAGGTAAAAAACAAAATTGACTATTGAGTATTAATTTTCTGTATTGAGCTTATTTGGCACAAATTAGTTCTGTTGGGTTTTAGAAAGCATAGGTTTAATGATCTGAATCTAGCATGCCTCCTTCTCTACTTTTCTGAATATCTGGGAACTCCTACAGATGTTTAACTAGAATTAAGAGTTTACCACACATTTTGAACCATTTTGAGAACGGGGTGGATCACTCCATTTTCCAGTGACCACATGATATATATTCTTGAATTGGTTCACAATGTGAGGTAAACTCTTAATTCTAATCAAACATCTGTAGAGAGTCCCAGATATTCAGAAAAGTCCAGCTTTGCCCCTCTTGCTGCAAAGGTAGAGACAGGAGAGGATGTAGGGACATGAAGGCTGAGAAGGAAAAAAATAATTGGCTGAACAGAATTGCTTTGAGATGCAGTGTGGCTTCTTGTCCCCAAACCACCTGATCCTTGTGTGTGAATGTGGGGTTTGTTCTAAATCTCATGCCATATTTTCAAGATACCCTGATTAGCCTGATCCAGCCCAACATCATTATCTAGTCACACCCTAAGTCTCATTGAGTTCATTGGCTTCAATCTCTAGTATGGGGTGGGGAGAACATATGCCCCTCCAAAATGGTGAGACTGCAACTCTCCTCAGTCCTAGCCAATAGAGAGAGCTGCTGGGAGTTGTGGTACAACAACCCTGGGTGCACTGTAGTTCCCCCTTCCCCACTTTAGCAGAATTTTTTCTTACCTTGACCCACCTGTGGAGGTCCGCCTGGCTCCCTTGCTGGGTGTTTTCAGGAACAAACTTAAAACCTAGCTATTTGGGCATGTTTTCCTCCTTCCATATCTTAATTTCTTATACTTTCGCCACCTTGGATTTATAATATATGCTTATTAGTTTTATTGTTTTTAAATTTGTAAACTGCCCAGAGTAGACCTTTGGTCTAGATCAGTGGTTCTTAACCTTTGTTACTCGGATGCTTTTGAACTGCAACTCCCAGAAACCCCAGTCAGGACACCTGGTGGTGAAGGCTTCTGGGAGTTGCAGTCCAAAACTCCTGAGTAACCCAAGGTTAAGAACCAGTGGTCTAGATGGTCGGGATAGAAATCCAAATAAATAAATAAATAAATAAATCATCCTTTATCCTGCTGCTGTTCTGGAAAGTACATGCCGTGTGCATGCACACATATGCACACAGTTACACTTAATTTTTTTCAAAGTGTTTACTGCATTCACAATCTCATATCAAGAAAATAATTATAATGTGGCCTAATGTGAGCAAAATCCTGATATCTATCAGAAAAAAACCATCTAGTTTTGTGAATCAGTGCCTTGATTATGCAATACTGTTTTCTGAAAATGTCTGTCAAATCGAAGGAGACATTTCTCACTTGCTCAACTCTGTTTTATGGTTCCTTCAAGCCTCTAAAAGCAGCAGTGTACATTTTTAAGATTACATTTTAAAAAAAAAACACTGCATCACAAGTGTGTATGTTCCTCCACAGGAAAGATGAACCACTGAAGGCATACAGTTCCCCAAGGACATTTGATAAAACTGTTTAGGGCATCTTGTTTAGTGGTTATGAGTCTGGGTCTTCCTAATAGTTTTGAGGTATGCTTCCCATAGCAGAGGGCTGGCTGATATGGGCACCCAAACATAATAATGTTACTTTAAAAACAACCCAAAACCTTAGCGGATATTTTGTCTTTAAACACTGTATTAACGAATCATCAGTTTGTTTAGATATTTGTTTCTCTATATTCTATACCAGTGGTCCTCAACGTTGGGCCTCCAGATGTTGTTGAACTACAACTCCCAGAAGCCTTTGCCGCCACCTCTGCTGGCCAGGATTTCTGGGAGTTGAAGTCCAAGAACATCTGGAGGCCCAAGGTTGGGGACCACTGCTCTATACCATGAAAAGGGGTCATCATAAGTCAAAATTGACTTAATGGTACATTATTATTGATATTACAATTATTCAGGCACAGTCAATCAAAATTATAAAAACATTGACTGATATTATATAGTAGATACAACTTTTAACCGAAAACCTTATTTTTATTGTTATTGCTATTGTTATTGTCATTATATCAGTTTAATCAGAAATGAGTCTTTCAGTATAACTTTATTTCTATCCTCAAACTGCAAACAGAGGCATGGTTTTATTATTAATTTTCAGTGGATGTAGCAAAAACAACATCCCCTCCGTTCCATTTCTTTCTCAATATTCTCTTTTTCCCCTTTGGTAAAAAGGAACTTGTACGTGTTTATGGATTAGTTTTCCTCTAGTGTGGTGGCCAGTACAATTGCTTATTACAAAGGTTTTTGCCCTCTGTGTTATTTTTTTTCCTCTGTGGACCATTTTCCTATGCAGTAAAATTGAAGAAAAATGCTGTTCCAGACATTTTATTTCATACACAGCCAGCACTGCTGGAAATTTCTTGGTCCGCCACATCCATTCCAAGTACTTGACACAATAATCTGAGAAGTGCACATATAAATCCTGTTTTTCTTGGCTGTAGTTCTATACTAGCTAGGTGGGTCAAAAGTGTACCCTGTAATATTTTTGAGAACCAACGTTCTGAATGATGACATTTTTACTTCTCCTTTTGATAAAATCCACATGTGTAATGACTTCCTTTTACTGTTGCATGAGCAGATACAGTTATAATCATGGCTAAAACATCTCTATAGAACTAATAAATACTACAGAACTAGAAAATACCATGTTATAGTTATAGATACATTGACAAACAAAGGTACTGTAATTGAAAAACATGTTTTAACTAGTATAAATTGCTCTAGATGGTGGAGAGTATTCTCAAACAGAAATAGTAAAACATCAGTAGGTGAACCCACTCCAAAATGATTGATCAAAAATGTCTTTTGGAATGGAGTGTATTCTCTGTGACTACAGTGATCTAATACCAACACTTATGTTTCATATTGCAGTGAGTCCAACAAATCTATCTCAGTTCAAACTTCCTGGGCCCAGTATGATGAGATCAAATAGCATCCCAGCACAAGACTCTTCTTTCGATCTCTATGATGATAACCAACTTTGTGGCAGTGCCACATCCTTAGAGGATAGACCACGTGCAATCAGTCATTCTGGTTCATTCAGGGATAGCATGGAAGAAGGTAAGTGTCTTTAAGGTGTATTTGATATGTGAAGATAAAACACATTTATGGTTTGGGCTAACAGTATTTGAAATGTACACTGTAGTTTGAGCGTCAGTATTCAAAACTGACAAACTGTGGTTTTGAATTGATTATTAGCTTTTATTTCCCAGAACTTGGCTTCATAAATTCACTCCTGTCTTCACAGTAATAAAGCCACCTGAAGGGGCAATTTCTTGTTTCTCTGGTGCAACAGTTTCTTGAGGTGGAACAGTGGGCCTATCTGTGCTTTGCCAGTGGTCTTCGTATTCAGATGTAAAAGCAAAACTGTGTAAACCACTTTGGATCCATTAATTCAGATAACCCCAGCAGGGAAAAAATGGTTTATGAAGATGCTCACGTTTGGAACAACCCATAGCTTGGCATTACATGTAAATCTAACTGGAGGGTTTGACTAGAAAGATCTGAAGGAACATCTTGCCCCATACGAGCTCTGAAATTTTCAGAGCAGGCTTTTGTTTCAGTCCTTTCGCCCTCATTGCCCTGTTTGTTGGGAGTGCAAGGAAGGGCCTTCTTTGTGGCTGCTCCTTTTTTGACAAAAAGGTAGGCTATAAATAAAGTAAATAGAGGTATGAATTCAATCTGCTGCTTAGCTGTGATGCTCACTGGGTGATGTTGAACCAGGCTCATTTATTCATTGTAACAACTTTATAAGGTTAGTTCAGAGTTCATTTAGGATAAATTGTTGATTTGTTGATTATTTCTTGGAGTTATATCCCACCCTTTGTCCCCAAGATGGGACCTCAGGAAATTCACAATCAGACTGAATTTAAAATCCAGCTAAAGCACAAAATTCAAAAATATTACAACACAAACTAAAAACACAATTAAAAATATCCATAAAGAAAATGCAGCACCCTCGTGGCAGGGGAAAAAACCCATACACATGGACATAAGCAGTCTTCCCCAGTAACTGTTCAGAAGTCAAATTCCTGTCCAACTACATAAGTTTAAATAAACCTCATGTATAATTCTGTAAGCCCTTTGGAAGAAAGGTGGCATGCAAATGTGATAAACAGAACAAAGAAGAATTCTGTTTGATTGAGCATGTTGAATGTGAGGTGCAAATGTGTGCTCTATTTCTGCCACATTGTCCTTTCACCACGCAGCAATTCACCTGCGGACGGGCAGTTTTGGTGTAATAAGTCCTCATTCATATTCAATCCTCTCTCCCTTTTCTTTCTTGAGAATATCCTTCTTAAGGATGAAGGCACCTAAAATATGGAATAATTATTATAATGTAATGTAATGTTCTTAGATATATTGGATCTCCATACCAAAAATTATTTTTCTTACAGACCCTCCCATAATATTAAACTTTCTAACAACTGCACATTATGCTTTACCAGCTCAGACTCCTGTTGGAACAATAATTCACATCTATTTACCCTTCTGCCAGGGACCATGGTCTGCATCACCCTGGCTGCTAAGCTCTTGAGTTTCTCCCAGGCTTTTTTACTCCCATCATTCTGTTTTTTTCACCTTCCCCTATTCTGCTGGCTCCTTTCCTGGTTAAGGTATCCCACACTACCTGCCAACCCAACGGAAGGTTCTTATTCTCCTGCCACCCACATTCCAGACTTCTTACTTTATCCCTTAATCTCCCTGGTTCTGGCAGCAGCCCAAACACAGTGGGTTTCTTTCTTTTCCTCCTGGCACTTCCAGTTGATTATGCCATTTGTTTCCAATAAGCTGAGCCAGCTTGGCCAGCCACCCTCAGACAGGGATCTAAAAAATGAAAAAGCAAAGGATACTGTGGAACAGGACCAACTGAACTGTGGGGATGAGGAGAGCATACCAATCTGAGAAGTGATGACTAGTCACATTTTATGGTTGCCATGACTGAGATAAAAACACTGTTTCCTTGAAATGATGAAATATGAAAATATTAGAGTTGACTTAAGAAGATCAGTGTTCTTAACAGGCATTTTGGGCAAGTGACAAATAATATTCCATCATAATTCTGTCAGATCTGTGTAGCTGGTAATTTTGGTGTGGTTGTAAGATTCACATCCCAGCCATGCAATGTGCATTTCTTGTTGGCATTGGACATCTTTATTCACCTTAGAAGGTAATCAGAATTAGGATATTTTAGGCGTGATTCACTATTAAAATTATTGCAGTAGTAAATAATTTTAATAAAACAAAAATTCCAGTGTATGAAGAATATTATTTATTTATTATTATTTAGCCGACCAGTTTGTAACAATTTTCTGACAGTAAAAAAATAATGTGAAGTAAAATAAAATAGTCAGGCATATTTTGTTAAACGTATATTTCCAATTATTTTTCAGTTTTGTAGCTGCAATGCCCTTTGCATATTGCATCCTAAAATATGGACTGAGGGTTTTTTAAAAGCAAGTTTTCCAAGCTTTTAGAAAAGAGGATTGAATTAAAAATCAATGTTTTCCTCTTTTCCTTCCTTCCTTTTTTTGCTGAGGCTTTTTTCAATATAAACTGTAGAGGCAGAGGCTGACTTATTTTATTGTAACCCTCTTTGGAAACCTTTTTAGCTGAAGAGTAGTGTAGAAAAAATCAGTACATACCAAGTCTTTAAGATGGAAAGCAAATCTTTAAACTAGCAGCTATTATGGACTTGAACTGAAGCTGGGATATTGTGTTGATTCTAAGAGCCAAACTAGCAATTAGCAATTGTGAAAATGGCTTTTATGAATAAATGAAATGCATTCTTGAGGTATACACCTCAGAAGGTATGCTTGCAACTTAAAGACAATGTAGATTTAAAAAACATTTTAGAAGTCATACATTTGCATTGCAAAACATTGATTAGCCAACAGGCAACATTCACATGGTGTTTTCCTCTTAAACCACAGTAAATGTTATTTACCAGCAAAGATAATGCACACTTCTAAAATCTCTACAAATAAATGTTTCTCAGCAGAGTAGAATTGTTCTTGCTGCAATCAGAGGAACACAGCAGGTATTTCCAAATGCATAGCCTCTACAATAGCTTTCTTTGTGGCTGAAAATTCTTGCTGCTAAGTTTGACAGAAAACAACTCCTAATAACGCTCTTTGTGTTTTTCCTGTTTTTAGTACATGGGTCCTCATTATCACTGGTTTCCAGCACATCTTCTCTCTACTCCACAGTAAGTGCTGACAACACTGAAATGATGATATCTCTTGATATTGTTTGTGCCATGAAAAGTGAGGTGGCTTGTTAAGTTGTCCAGAAACCAGATGAAAGTGTGACATTGGCTGAACAATGCAAAACTCTGACTGCTGCTTGAATTGAATAGCTTCCTTATAATTTTCAAACTACCATTGCCTCCTTGAGCTGGATGTCGTCATTGTTTAGTCGTTTAGTCATGTCCGACTCTTCGTGACCCCATGGACCAGAGCACGCCAGGCCCTCCTATCCTCCACTGCCTCCCATAGTTGTGTCAATTTCATGTTGGTTGCTTCCAGTGAGCACTCAGGGTTGATTTCTTTTATAATTGATAGGTTTGTTCTCCTTGCAGTCCAGGGGACTCTCAAGAGCCTCCTCCAGCACCACAATTCAAAGGCATCAGTTCTTCGGCGGTCAGCTTTCTTTATGGTCCAGCTCTCACTTCCATACATCACTACAGGAAAAACCATAGCTTTGACTATTCAGACTTTTGTTGGCAAGGTGATGTCTCTGCTCTTTAAGATGCTGTCAAGGTTTGCCATCACTTTCCTCCCAAGAAGCAGGCGTCTTTTAATTTCGTGGCTGCTGTCTCCATCTGCAGTGATCATCGAGCCCAGGAAAGTAAAATCTATCATTGCCTCCATATCTTCCCCTTCTAGTTGCCAGGAGGTGATGGGACCAGTGGCCATGATCTTAGTTTTTTTGGTGTTGAGTTTCAGGCCATTTTTTGCACTCTCCTCTTTCACCCTCATTACAAGGTTCTTACCTTCTGCTATCAGAGTGGTATCATCTGCATATCGGAGGTTGTTGATATTTCTTCCGGCAATCTTGATTCCGGCTTGGGATTCCTCCAGTCCAGCCTTCCACATGATGTATTCTGCATATAAGTTAAATAAGCCGGGGGACAATATCCAGCCTTGTCGTACTCCTTTCCCAATTTTGAACCAATCAGCTGTTCCATATCCAGTTCTAACTGTTGCTTCTTGTCCCACATATAGATTTCTCAGGAGAGAGAGTAGGTGGTCAGGCACTCCCATTTCTTTAAGGACTTGCCATAGTTTGTTGTGGTCCACACAGTCAAAGGCTTTTGCATAGTCAATGAAGCAGAAGTAGATGTTTTTCTGGAACTCTCTGGCTTTTTCCATAATCCAGTGCATGTTAGCAATTTGGTCTCTAGTTCCTCTGCCTATTCAGAATGTACCCATCTCTAAAATCGGTTGTGTTTTTCCCCTTAAAAGCTGAATTGCAGAAATCTGCTAGGGGGGGCAATTGTGTGCTGCCTAGAGCTTTTGCTTGGCTATTCTGGCTTGTTTCTTTGCCTGCACTTTAGAAGCCTGCAGCACAGTAATTGGCCACTTTCTGTCAAGAAAGGTGTGCAGGTGTGTGAAATATTACTCTGAAATTACAGTGTTGCTCTGCAGACACAGTTTGGGATTCTGGTGTTAAAGGATCTTGGGGGGTGACAGAAAGCAACTTTTATTATTGGGTTTATTAATTTGTTTATTTATTATCTATTAGAAGCTCTTTTTAAATATTACATTTTTACATCTTATCACTCTCCATTTCAAAAATCCCTTTGCATTTTGCAATATTGCATAGGTTTAGTACCAAACCCTGTAATTTACATATTATTTCAAGTTACATTAACTGCATCTATGGGAGTTTTTAAACAAAGAACTAAAATGCTCGAAGTATGGATGAGTTGAAATATAAATAAAAATAGCTTTAACATCCATAAAGCAGCTTATTTGGCACAACATTTAAGTTTAGATACTTGAGAATCTAAAGATTTTGAGAAAAGAATAATGCTTTTTCGCCCTGGACATGGTATTTTCTTATGACAAATTCTAATTATGTTGAATTGGAAAATATAACCTGGGAAATACAAATGATTTTCCAGAATATATCAGATCAATCCATATTTCTGAAATATTTTTACAGCAATAATTGTTTACATTAGGCATTTATACCAATGTAACCTGTACCATTCATACCTTGGGATATGATAAGCCATGTTTGAACCATTTTAATGATACTTAGTAGGCATGTAGGGCTCTGTGTTCATAAATTACACACCATCACTTAATAAATTGCATAGATTTCTTAGATTTCAATTGTTTGATCTTGTGTCATCATGCTTTCTAGCCACTTGACAACACTCCTTGCTCAGTATATGAATATCTAGCTGTGATAATGGAAGGTGAAGAACCTCCTTGTCAGGAGCAAGGAGGGCTTTTGAGTTACAAATCCATGGTAGGAATCATACTTCAAGGATATAATCTTTGATCACCATTTCTCCTGCTGGTTCTTAAAGACTCCTCACAGTTGTTCAGTTCCTAATCAAGAAATATTACCTGAGATGAAACATCAGACAAAAGATTCGGATTCGCTGACAGACACGTTGGCCATGCAGAATATTCTGTATACAGTGCTGTATAACCCATGCTTCTATGGTTTGATGTCCCCAAACATGTTTTTGTATGGCTTCCCCTGGCTCTGATCTGTATAGGATGCCAGATGTTCATCAGGATTTTCTTCTTCTCCCACTTCCTCCAATCTTCCTTTCCACTGCAAACTTTGCTCTCATGGGTTTCCAAACCACTGAGATAAATAATGGAGAAAACACTAGGGCTGCATGACGAGAGTGAGTTGCTCCTTCCTGCTTTCGTTGAAGATGCTGCTCCCCTTCAGAAGATGTACACACTTTTATCCTGGCCTGCTTCTCAGTGGTATAAATCTCTGCGACACTGACTACTTTTTAAAATTTTAATTGTTCCACTTTGCTTTTACAGTATTTAGTTGAAACGTTTTGTTTAGAACATAAGAAGTGTACATTGGGCTCTCTAGTATTAGATGACTCTCCATGATCCTTTGCCAAGATTTTGTAAAGTTTCTGCTCATCAGTTTCTCCTAGACGGAGTCAAAATGTCATGTTCCTGTTCATTATAGAAATGTCTATACAGCACATCTCCAGAATTTTTATGGAAATATAAAAAGAAACTGCTTTTTTGTGAAAACAGGTCTGTTAAGTATATGGTAACATTGGCAAGCCTTCAGTTATACTGCAGCACAACACCATGGATGTTTACTCAGAAGGAGGTCCCATTAAGTGCAAGAGGATTAGCTCCCACATAGATGTGTGTAGGACAGCATTAGCTTGAATCTTTAATGGCACTCCATTTGCAGGCAAAATTATACCCAAATTCAGTTTAGAGGGATTTTTAACTGTATTCTAATTGTACTCCTTTTAAAAACTTCTAGATAACTCAGTGGTTTGCATATCTTACTGCAGAGCCAGAGCTGAGAGTTTGATTTCCTGCTGTGCATCCTTGACGTGGGCTGGACTTGATAATCCATAAGGTCCCTTCCAGTTCTGCAGTTCTAAGATGATTATGATTATAGTTATATTTGAGAAGTCAGTGTTAGCAAAATAAGAAGGTATTGTGATTTTTCTAATGCATATAATATACATATATGTGTTTTCATATTTTTTTCTGTCCCTCTAGGCTGAAGAAAAAGCACATTCAGAGGTAAAAAAAACCCCATTCTTTTAAAATTAATGCTTCATTGAATATTTCAGTGTACAAAGGGCTTTTCATTAGTCTCAGTCACATGGCATAAACTGATGTTCTCATCAATAATGCTGAAACTTCTCCCATATGTAACTACCTGAAACCATGAGAGTTTCAAAAGTATTCCTGGTCCTGCTCAGTGGACATGAGATGAGTGGATATTAAGGTGAAGGTTTTCCCATAGACCTCTGGCTGACTATTATGGGAAATAAGATTCTAGACTGAATAGGCCCTTGGTCTGATCCAGCAGGGCCACTTTTATGTTCTTCTGACTAAGCTTTAATATATTATTAAATACAGTATTATTAGTGAAGGGACGTGGTGGCACTGTGGGTTAAACCGCAGAAGACCTGCAGTCATAAGATCGAATCCATGTGATGGACTGAGCCCCCGTTGCTTGTCACAGCTCCCTCCAACCTAGCGGTTCGAAAGCATGAAAAATGCAAATAGATAAATAGGTACCACCACAGTGGGAAGGTAACGGCATTCCGTGTCTAGTCTCTCTGGCCACGTGACTACAGAAGATTGTCTTCGGACAAACGCTAGCTCTATGGGTTGGAAACTGAGATGAGCACTGTCCGCTAGAGTCAAACACAACTGGACAAATTGTCAAGGGGAACCTTTACCTTTTACCTAATATATTCTAATTAAATGTATTTGCAACTACCGTTTTTTCTTCCCTGAAATAGTTTACTGTGTTGACTTTAGCCCGTAGTCAAACTGTAACATTGTACTGGCAGAATTTTAGAGGAATCTGTTGTTTGCTCTCCTACCCAGCAAATTCATAAACTACGAAGAGAACTTGTTGCATCCCAGGAAAAAGTGGCCACCCTTACATCACAGTTGTCAGCAAATGTAAGTCATTTTTTGAAGTTGAATTGAGAGGAAAGTAGATGTGGTGCATTTTTTTAAAAAAATTAAATTTTCGCTCAAAATAGCTACACTTTCTACTTCCAAGAGGAAAAAAACAGAGGTACTTATTTATTTGTAGTGTTCAGGGTGTGGAAGCCATAGGAATTCACAACCATTCAATCAGAAATAAGGCAGTCTTGCAGTTAGGGCAGTTTTGCAGAAATCTTCCCACTGCAAGAATCTCACATCTGTAGATACAGCTCAACTCTGCAGGTTTGTCTGTATATCTTACTGCAACTAGCAGAAATGATTTTTTTAATGTCACTTCTAGTTTCAACTAAAACAGGAACTCTCTTGAAATTAGAAACCATTAACATGTTGTAGGGTAATCGAATTGTGTAACTACCATACTATTGCCAAATTGTTTATGATAACTTGCCCTTTTTAAGTGTATGATCATTATCAGTGGGCATTTTATATATCCTATTTCATTTTCACCCATTAGTGTAAGCATAACCTATGTCTATGTAAACTTGAATGTTGAGTTCTACTGGGTTAGGTCCGTGGAAGCTCCTGCCAAATAAAACTTGTTGGTCTTTTCCTGCTACAGACTAATGCAGCTGCCTCAAAATGAATGAATTTGGGGTTTAGTGAAGTGGATTAATTATATCACCAGAGAATAAAGTGTCATAGTCTTTTTTTTGTCGTACTGGTGGGTGTTTCCGGAAAATGCTACATAGTTTCAAAGTTTAGGCATCCCCTTCAGTCTCGAGAGACTATGGTAACGTGCTCTGTATGGAGGACTTGGCTGGCCAGCTCTGCATTCATAATTATTGAATCTGTCATTTTTATTCCTGTCACAGAATTCCAGAAGCAGAGTAGAACTTCAAGGTCCTATATATTAAACGGATAGATTCTTTGAAGCTTTATTTTGTAGATCAAAGTTTGTCCTTTTCCTGATATGGCACAGAAATCAGTTACTCATTGGTAGCCTTGATATGCCAAAGCCCTGTGGCTTTTAATACACTGAAGGGTTTGGACATATTTTAATATTAGTATTTCCTGTAGTAATATACTTCTGTAGATTGCCTATACATATTCTCATGATCAACTACATCAAGACAATGTCACAAGATAGTCATGACCTGTTTTCCTAACTAATTTGACGAATCCAGGTCAATATTCTATATGGACTGAATTGCATTGGGTTAGATTGGATAAACTGCCTTGAATCCCCTATGGCAGTGGTTCCCAGCCTTAGGTAACCCAGTTATTCTTGGACTGCAACTCCCAGAAGCCTTCACCACTAGCTGTGCTGGCCAGGGTTTCTGAGAGTTAAAGTCCACGGACATGTGGGCTACACAATGTTGTGAAACACTGTCCTAAGGTGGGGGGAAGGCAGGATATAAAATAAAATAATATCAAATAAGTTAGTATAGAATATCAGTTTGGATTCATCAAATTAGTCAAAAATCATGTCATGGCTAACATGCTATTGATTTTAATGGGCTACCTTATTCTTGATTCAATGCATCATTCAAATGTGTATATTCAATCTACAGATGTATATTAGTGTGGGAGAAAAATTAACATACATTGTCCTGTTTTCTTGCTTACTAACATTTGGCAGCTAGAATTTTGCTTGCATGTATTTTATCTCTTATTTGTTAGGCAAGATTCTCTTATCTGAGACTCTGCTGCTTTCTTCAACATCTAGTTATTTATCTCATTTGATATGGCCCAAGGCAGCTTCCTTTTTTTTACAATTTAATTTACTCAAACTCCAGCTGCTGTTGATGTCTTGATTTGCATACAGTGACTTCATTTTGAAAAGTGAAAATTTTGATTGTTTGTTTCCAAGGGAAACTGAAGGGAAAATATTAGTTGTATTTTCCCCAAAAGGATAGTTTTTAGTTCAGATAATCTGCAACCAGCAGACTTTGTAGTTGATTGAAAAAGCATCCAATTTAATTCACATTTCTTAGCTACAAGCCTCCTAACTTACAAAAAGTATCTTTGATCAGTGCCTCTTACCACTTAAAGCTTAGTCCCAAAGGCAAAATTGTAGTTTTTAGGCCAACATGTATCGAATAGAGGGAGTTTTTTTTAAGCTACAGTTATGTAGTCTGAACCAGGAACCAGCCATATAAGAGGAAAGATAGATGAAGGCAAGAAATGTATGTATGTATGTATGTATGTATGTATGTATGTATGTATGTATGTATGTATGTATGTATGTATGTATGTATGTATGTATGTATGTATGTTTGTATGTATGTATGTATGTATGTATGTATGTATGTATGTATGTATGTATGTATGTATGTATGTATGTATGTATAGCTAGTAGATATAAAAGGCTTTGAGGCAAACCAGAAAACAGTTTAACCTCCTTACCACACTTCCCTCCATAGGCTCAACATAAAAAGTAGCTATGACAGGAGAAATCACATATTGCTGGTTCCTGCCAAACACAATACAAAAGGAAACAGAAAAGCCTATCTTCTTCCACTCACAAATCTCATACTCTGGACAGAGGACCAAACAAGATGGCAGCATGCTGCTTCATCCATAGTTTTTCCTTAACCTCAGGTTTCATAGCTCAGTGGTTTGGGCAACTGTCTGCAGAGCCAGAGGTTGGGAGTTTGATTCCCCACTGTGCCTCCTTCAAGCAGAGGCAGCCTGTGTGGCCTTGGGCCTCAAACGTGCACAGTTTGAGGGTGTCCCCAGAAGAAAGGAATGGTAAACAACTGGAAAATCCTGAAAATGGTCATCATAAATCAGAATTGACTTGACAGCACATGATTATTATAATTTTACTGTGGGAGAGGGATCCTCAGGGCATGATGAGAGGAGGTTAATCACACCTTTCCCCAGTCCAAATGAACCAAAATTATCCTACAAACATTTGGGGAGAGGACCTGTGCCATCTGCCTTTTTATATCAGATGTGCATTCTGTGACTGAGTTTCATACACTACTGCTAATGTTCCTTTATTGTCCATGATCTATTAACAATCCCATCCTCTGTTACAGTTATAGAGATGGAACGGAAAAAGATGGTTGGGCAGTCATTTGTGGCATCCAATTTCATTTGCTTCTATAGGAATAACTTACACCACCAAAGAAGATGAGAGTAACTTTTGACCCAAACAACAGAGAATTCCATCTAGGTTGCCTTAACAAGTTCCCTTCTCACTAGGGATGGGTACAAATTGCTGGTTTGACAGTTCGTGCCAGTTTGTTTTTTTTGACCAAACAGGTGTCGGGCAGTTTCTTTTTATTTTTTTTTTCAAATTCATTTCCTGTTGGGTCAAGGAAAGGTTATAGGGAAGGGGATTTGTAATAAGGTACTGGTATAAATAAAAATACAGAATGTGATAAAGAAAAATGATATATATATATCATTATTACTTTTACCAGTATCTTTACTTACTAATCTTACTACAGAATAATCTTGCCAATTTTTTCTAAGCCTTTAAGATTTACAATTATCTCTTATATGTTCTTTCTTATAATTTTAACCCATTCATGTTCTCATCTCTCATCCAATTATACACAGATTCTCATTTTTTTTCTAGCCTCATCGGCTAGCCTTCTTTGTCTTTTAATTATGGCAGTTAGAATAACAATATCTGCTGCTTTTACAAAATTTTCTATTAATTGTTGGATCATTGGAGTCTCCTCTTTTCTCCAGTATTTGGCATATAAAATTCTTGCTGCTGTTGTTACATGTATGATCAAATATCTTTTTCTTTTCTGGTATTATACTCATAAACAGTTCAGGTTCATATGACATTATAGAGGATAACTTTTTTTGTACAATCTCATGGGCTAATTTCCAAAAGCTCTTAACTTCCCTACAAATCCACCTGATTAGGCATCCTTCAGTCTCGAGAGACTATGGTAACGTGCTCTGTATGGAGGAGTTGGAACAGCGTCTAGTGTGGCTGAGAAGGCCAATTCGAGAGTGACAATCTCTTCCACACTGAAGATAAATACAATCTGTCCCCTGTCCAGCTCCCTGATTTTGCTGCTTTTGGGACTGCCTCTTGGCGTTCTGGACAAGTGTCTCTTCAAAATGGGAGAGGCCATGATGCACCGCTTGCCTCCAGGCTGAACGCTCAGATGTCAAGGTTTCCCTCTGTTGAGGTCTACAAGTCCACCACATATGATAAAATCTACTGTGGCGTTTGCCCCTAGTTCCCCCTGGTTATCTTCCTACCACAAAGCACTTGAAGACAAACCAAACTCCTCTTCACACACTGCCACCAGTTGATTACTAAATCAACATACTTTTCTAAAGAAAGATGAAGATCCATTCCATGTCTGTTCCTTACAAAAGCCTATTGTTTTGTCCCTCGTATATCTTGAATCTATTTGTCTTTTTGTCCACCAATCAAAAGTATTATACTTTGTTCTTCTAGTTCTTCTCTTGATTTCATATTTAAGTCTTCTTTTAACAAATCTCTATATCTCAAGAGTTTCTTCTTTTCCATTAATGTTGGTTGCATGAATGCTTCCATTGGCAAGACCCATTCAGGAACTTTTTGGTAATTTTCTTCCCGGATCTTAGTTCATACCCAGTTCAAAGCTTTCCTTATTAGGTGATTCTTGAATTGTTTATTATCCTTTGCTTTTTTATTCCACAGGAAGACGTGCCATCCTAACTTTAAATCATATTCTTCTAATTTTAGTAATCTGTCATTTTCTAAGACTATCCATTCCTTTATCAAAACTACAGCACAGACTTTATAATATAAAAACTAATCTGGAAGTCTAAAACCTCTTTCTTTTGCGTCTTGAAGCACTTTGATTTTTATTCTAGATTTTTTTCCTTGCCAGCCAAACTTTTTTTGTGTGTGTGTCCAGCAGTTTCCAGTCCCACCTCCTCTGACAGTCGCACCCTGGCTTCCCTGCCCTGCCTCCTCTGGGCACTGCCTTTGAGTGAACACCTGCCAGAGGAGCTGGTGCTGGGAACTACCAAACACCTGTTTGGCCAAAAAATGAACAGGCATGAACTGTCAAACTGGCAATTCATGCCCATCTCTAATTCTAATCCAGATTTGTTGCTCCAACTCATGATGAGCTTCCAGTTCAAGAGCATACAACATTTTCAGCCCCAAGGAACACACCTGACATACAGACACACATTTGCATACATATAATCTCCCTCTTACTCCTTCCAGAACTTTCTTATTTATATACACACATGGAAAGACACCACTAAATCCATCTGTCATCTGGAGATGAGATCCCACCCACCCCTTTTTCCACTACAGCTCACAATATCCTGGAATTTATAATCCCAAAATACTGTTCGCACTCTATGTTCCCATCTCTCAGAAACCTCTGCTGAGACAGTATTATTCCACCAGATCTAGGCACCGCATAGGGAACAGACAAGGTACATAGACTGTTGTAAGATGCGCTTTGTTAATATCAGTGTACTGGATCATACCAGCAGAACAATCCTTGGCCTGAAAGCCTCTCTCATTGGTTTAAGTAAAACTATTTCTTTTCCAAAAAGTATAAATTAAGAAAGGAGACATGAAACTTTTTCCCTCTTCAGAATGTAAATCAATCCAACACCTCTCCTTATGTATGCTGAAACTAACAGAAAGAAACGAGTCATTATTCCAGTTGTTAAATATAAAAATCAGTCATGCAAGAACTTAATTTAAAATTTTCAGCATATATCTATTTTTACAGTAACAATGACAGTTGACTAGTAATAAATGTTTTCAATCTTAGTATGTATAAATATGGCAGATGTGCCTTCACTTTTGAAATGTAATTGCCTACTTTAATGATGAAAAAGTATTGAGTTTTTATTTAAAAGTGCTTTTCTGTTTAATTTTTTAATATTTCACTTCCCCATCCAATTAGTGAAATAATTTGTGTTCTGGGTCATGCACATACAATTTTTTAAAATCAACATACACACTCATTAGTGACACTGAGTCCTTTTTTCTTAGCTACATGTTTGTTCAGAGGATCAACATTTCTTAGACCTGTGAATTCAAAACTCCATAGATTAGATTAGATTAGGTTAGAATAGATTAGATTAGACAGACAGACAGACAGAAGGAAATTACCGTATGTATTTAGTCCTCCTGTATCCTCCTGTAGCTGGTCCCAAAGCTGTTAGTCTGCTAGTCTGGCTGTCTCTTTCTTTTTCCTAAGCTCAAAATCCTATAAAATTAGAAATTATCAGGTCTCTGGAGAGGCACCCACACATTTTTTTCCTTTTTTGCCATATTTTATCATGAAGACTTGTGGGGGGAGGGAATGGAGCACCAAGTTTGGGTAAGTACCATATTACCCAGCCAGATCATGCCTTCCCCCCTGTCTTAAGTGTAGCTTTTGACAATTGTAGATACTACATAAATGCACAGACCTTGGATGCTGAAAAGATGATTTTCATTTATATTCTTGGCACATTGTATTTCAGTGCAATGAAGAAAAAAATCAATGAGCATTTGGATGCAGTTATGTTCAGATTTTAAAATTACAGTACGCCAGTGCACAGAGCATTTGTTTTATCACAGATTTCTAAAAATCAATACCATTGACATAGTTATCATTTTGAATATATCATATTTTTCTGTGTATAAGATGACCCAATGTATAAGATGACCCCCACTTTTCCAACGCCAAATAAGAAAATTTGATTGCTGCTCTCCCCCTCCACTTCCTAAGCCCTGCAAAAGCAGGATCAAAGGGCTGCAGAAGTAGAGGGTGAAAGCAGCGATGAAAGGGATGCAGGATCACAGCGCTTTGATCCTCCAGCCCTTGAACCCAGACAAGATGGAGTCTGCATGTGGGTGGCCCCAATGTCAGTGGTTTGGGGAACTCGCTCTCTTTGGGGGGGGTGACTCGTTCCACAAAGAATTCGGTTCACAGTCTGGGGCTCCATCTTGGCCCAGTGCTTATGATGGAGACCCAGGTAGCATCCGTGGTTCAGTCTGCCCACTTACATCTTTGGCAGACCACCCAGCTGTGTCCCTATCTAGATGTGGGGGCACTTACCACGCTGGTCCATGTGCTCGAAGTCTCAAGAAGAGACTACTGTAACACTCTATGTGGGGCTTCCTTTGAGACTGATGCAGAAGCTACAGATGGTCTAGAACACGGTGGCCAGGCTATTAACAGGGGTGAAAAGATTTTACCATTTTTCCGCCACCTTGGCCATCTTACATTGGCTACTTATCTGCTTCCATATTGATTTCAAGATGTTAACCATTACATATAAAGCCCTTAATGGTTTAGGGCCTCGATACCTGGCAGAGCACCTTCTTCTGCTCAGTTCCACCCATCATACCTGGCAGAGCGCCTTCTTCTGCTCAGTTCTACCCATCTCACCCACTCCAGTTAGGCCAGGTGGGTGAGGGTACCTGGCAGAGCGCCTTCTTCTGCTCAGTTCTACCCATCTCACCCACTCCAGTTAGGCCAGGTGGGTGAGGGGCCTAATGCCAAGAGAGGCCCGGTGGGAAAAAACTAGAAATTGGACCTTCTTGGACCTGTAGAGATCCACCTGGCTCCCTCACTGAGGGCCTTGAAGACTAACTTGAAGACATGGCTATACAGGCAGGCCTTCCCTACAGCCATTACCTAGCCTATCTCCTCTTTTCTTTTTTCAGTCTCCTTCTATATCTTCTTTTTTCCTTTCCCATCCTGGGCTAATCTGGATTTTATCTTAGTTTATTTTTATATTATATGTAAACTGCCCAGAGTAGTCATGTTCTAGATGGGCGGTATATAAATCTAATAAATAAATAAAATAAATGAATCCATGACTGCTTTACCCCCGCACTTCATAAGCCCCACGGGGCTTTACCCATCCACTTCCTAAGCCCTGTGGGGCTTATGAAGTACAGGGATAAAGCAGTGATGAAAGGGCTGGAGGATCAAAGCCCCATGGGGCTTAACAAGTGGTGGGGGAAACAGTCATGAAAGGGCTGCAGGACCAAAGGGCTGCGATCCTGCAGCACTTTGATCCCTCCCCCCCTTCCATGTATAAGACGACTCTCAGTTTTTAGTCTAAAGACTTTAGATAAAAGTGTCTTCTTATTCACCGAAAAATATGGTACACTAGGTTGGTAGTAAATCCATCACCCTTTACCCTATTGTACAGATGGGTTATTTTGTGGAGAGAAGTTAGACAAGACCTCTGACTCAAATAATTTAAATCTCAGACATATTTTATCTATTGAAAAAAAAATCTAAAAGTGTTTTAACTGGCAAATTTCATTAGGTAACTTAACCACAGAAAGCAAATAATCATCTTCAAGTACAGTGGTGCCTCGCTAGACAGTTGCCTTGTGGGATGAAAAACCCGCAAGACAATTGGTTTTTGTGATCACTATGGTGCCTCGCAAGAAGTTTTTTATATGACCGTGCTTTGCAAGACATTTTTTTAAGACAGATGCATAGGGAAACTCATAAGACGATTTTTTCACAAGCTGACGATTTTCGCAGAACAAATTAAAATCATCTTGTGAGGCACCACTGTAATTGGAAGATAACGATGTGGAAGGTATTTTGGGGGGCAGAACTGGAAAGGAAAATAGCACCATTTCAAGAGCTCCTGTGGGACATCCACATAGTCTCATAGCCCCTCAGACACCACCTGAAAGATCACACAATTGCCGCCTAAAACTGGAGAGAGGTGAGATATGAAGAAGACATAATATTTTGTTGGAAACAATGACATAGGCGCGTAGTTTTCTCCGCAAAGGTACACTTGAGCACATTTTGTAGGCTTTGTGGAATGCATTTCAACAATTTCCCTCTCTTTTCACACAGGCCCATCTCGTAGCAGCTTTTGAAAAAAGCTTAGGAAATATGACAGGGCGGTTGCAAAGCCTAACAATGACAGCTGAACAAAAGGTATGTTTGAAACAGCAGATGCTTGAATATGGAAGAGTCACAAGATTATATTAAAGTTTGTAGTTAAAGCTGGGTGAAAGGACAGCTGCAAGAATAAACAGACGGGTGCATCTCCCTTTCATGACCGTTACTATCAAAGCTTCATAAAAGCTCAATAAGAATAACATTATACACTATTAGGTTTAGCTTAGCTCTGTCAGAGGGCAGTGTGAAGATAAAATCTTTCATTTCCAGTTTTTAATTAAAACATTTGTGACTCTGGATTTAATCTGTATTGAAAGATTCAACCACAAAAGCTAGTCATAAACTAGCTTAAGTATTTGTTCCAGACTGACAGCATTTTTAGAATACGAAATATTGGACAAAATAAATATTCCATGGGTGTTAGCCTTTTAGCAAATTTTGTCTGGAGTAGTGGATTTGGTTTTCACTGTGCTTTTCAGAGTGTTCTACATATTGACTTACAACATGAGGAGCCTAAAGTTTAAAATGCATAAGATTATATGCATTTTATGATGAAAATATTAATGCATAACATTAAAAATCTGAAAGTAGTTTCTATGCTGTAGCCTAGAGCTAAAAAAGTGGGCCAATGGCTTATCAGTGTGCTGCTAACCATCTTTTAACCTTGGTTAAGTGTTTGGGAGAGACAAAGTTTCACTTGGTTCCTTCTGTCTTTGCTGTTCAATATGTTTTCGTCTCTCACCTCTTCCTTTAGTGCTGCTAAAACATTTTACTGCTTTCTAGTATTTTCTCTAGTAATACAGTAGGTGGATCTCTAGCACCTTGATTCTGAATCTATTTTGCTTTTGATCTCTTTTAAAGAAGTCACAGGAGACACCTCTCTGTTTTTCAATGTCTCTCCTGACTCATAAAGTTGGGATACACACGTAAAATATGAGACTTCATTTTTCTTCTGTGAGCTTTCAGAAGGGTGTGCGTTTATTTTAAAACCTTTATCAGTGAAATGAATTTTGCCTATTCATTTTTGTAGTAAAATTTTACAATTTTCAATAAATAAAATTTTTTCTAGTTGATTCATTTTAAGGCTTTGCATCAAAGGAATTGATTAGCATCAGCTAGAATTCTGTGTGCAGCTCACCAAGAGGTCACAAAGAGGCAAAGGAGTTGTAAGCTGGCAACTTTTCAAACTTGTGAACCACACTGGGGTTTTATTAAAATGAAAATCAGTATAGAAATGTACTTAAAGAAATATAAATTTAGTTGAGATACCTGTTAAGTTTGGTCTCTGCACCTCTTTCAAGAGCCTGCATAATGGGGACCCTTTGTTCTAATACATACACAAAGACTGTCAAGGCCTAGATGTGTGGATGGTGATGTAGAAGCCTGCCTGAATTTTTTTTTATTCCATTAAAGTTTAGAAATATAACATGTACAAGCTGGACAGTCTCAAATGGATCTCTCATTAAATGTGAAACACGATAGATCCCTATTTAAAATGGGAGCCCACTGTATCCGAAATTTGGCAGATGAATATTCTGGTCTTTGAATGGGCAACATTTTCATTCTTGAGGTGAATGTAATGGGATGGGGAGGAGCAGTGTTCTAATGGCAAGTCTGGACCCAACAAGGACCATCGCTCACCCTTCTCCTTTAGCACTTGAGCCCCCACACTTATATAAAGACACATATCCTATCTCCATTTATTTTTTAAAAAACCTCATTTCTTACACAGGCACACATACATCATTCCTCATTCTTCCTAGTACTTCATTACATGTTCTCACATGCATATGTTTTCCTTTTTGGTCCTTATAAAGCCAGGATTAGGGCCGTCATACTGTGACAGGACCACTTTGGAGAGGGGTACTAGGTTAAAACTTCCTTTCACCGTTGTTTCCATTGCAGCCCAAATCACTGATCACGCACTATAGCTTAAGAGCAAAGAATAGCAATATCTTTGCCATCAACCAGCTGGATAGCAGAAAGATATGGTTGAGTCTCCCTGGGGGTCAGTAGACTACAAGGAAAGTGTTTCAAGGGCAATGTATGCTCCAGAGACAGCATGATGGAAGCAAACTATCTGAAAATTTCATGAAGTGCAGATGGAAACCATGAAACTTAAAGGCAGCAAATTATTTGCTGTATCTTCCATTCAAAACAGTTCAAAAATACTGTAATGAATGAATGCAGCTCAGCTGAATGGATAATGAAATCCATGGAACTTTGACAACAAAACAAGTTACAAACAGCAGTGTTTTCCTTTGTATATTCATTGTTTCCAACAACTTAAATAGTGGACAGATCTGTGAGAATTAAGTTCACTTGTTATTTTTCTTCTGTTAGGAAGACATGAAACTTGCAGGACTTATGTTTTACATGATGATGACAATGTCAGGGAAGAGTGCCAGATGAAAAATGTTGGCACATGAGGAAGAAACAATTGTCTCTTGTGCCCTAGGAACTGGGTGTCTGGAAAACCACATTGTTGTTATGTGCTGTCAACCCCCCCCCTCAAAAAAAATTGATGGCAATCCTATGAATAAGCAGTCTCCAAAATCTTCTGCCTCAACAGCCCTGCTTGGCTGTAGCAAACCCAAGACTGTGGCTTCCCTTGTGGAGTCAATCTATCTCATTATTTGTTTCTCCTCTTTTACTGCTGGGTCAGGAATCTATTGTAAATAACACAGTAGATACACTCTGCCTTTAGCCCACCTCTAGCTAAGAAGCATAGAGGTATTCCAGACAAAAGCATTTCAAGTCGGAAAACAGCTCTTGCAGGTGTCCTTTAAATATTTTAATGTCTCAAAAGAACTTTCTATTTGATCATGCCACATTTTGCAAGACTTGAGCCTTTCTTTCCCAAAGAGATTATACCAGTGACATTCACATTCACCTCAGTAAGCTTTCCCAGACATTTGAGCACATGTTCCCCCCCCCCCTGGCTTCCTTCTCCTTGCAGCTAAGGCTAAATTCCTTCATCACCTTTAATCCCAATTATATAAAAATGAAGGCAGAAAGTAGCAATAATAAAAGTACTTTTAAAACTGTGCATTATACATGTTAAACAATTGCTACCAAAGATGAATTTTGTCACTGTGCCTCACGTAAAACAGAATATATGTTTCATATAATATCTATTATTCCACCCCAACATCAATTCTTACTGCACAGTACCTCAGAGATTAACAGCTTCCAATCTGAAGACTTTGATACACGAATTACTTGAGATGAGAGGCATGTAAGGAAAATATTTTCTCCTTACTTTTACCTACAAGTACAGCATTAAAACTTTGTAAATTTTTGCCCCAAGGTGTGTGTGGGGGGGAGAGACATGGTTACTGTGATGCATGTTGAGCTTTTTCCTGCTCTTCCCAAAGGAATCAGAGCTCATAGAACTACGAGAAACCATTGAAATGCTGAAAGCCCAGAACTCAGCAGCACAGGCTGCTATTCAAGGAGCATTGAATGGCCCTGATCACACTCATAAAGGTATGATGTTCTGTTTCTTATTCTCTGTTGAAGCAAGAATGGATTTGTTCTCCAAGGAAGTGCTAGACTACTCAGTTTCCATTTGGAAGAATAGTGTGTGTGCCAGATTATGAAATATTCTCAGTTGTGTTAACTGTGTATGCAGTATTGGTAAAACTCTTACGTACAGCTTACAATTCACAGTATTCCAAGAATCTTGGTTTTTATCAGACTTCTGTTGAAAAATCACAAAATGATCCTAAGTCTAGTTGAGAAAGAACAATATGACATACAGTGATTCCTCATTAGACAATGATAATCCATTCCACTGAAATTGCTGTTTAGCGAAATCACTGTCTAGCGAAAAGCATTTCCCCATTGGAATGCATTGAAACCTGTTTAATGCGTTCCAATGGGGAAGAATTGTCGTTGTCTAGCAAAGATCAGCCATAGGAAAGCTGCTTTGCGAACTGCCGATCAGCTGTTTAAATAGCTGTCTTGCAAAGCTTAGGTCCCAAAAACACCCGTTTTGTGAGCATGGAGGGAGCTGTCAAAATCGTCATCTAGCGAAAATCGGTTTGCGAAGCAGGGACCAAACATTGTCCAGAGAAATTCCCCCATAGGAATCACTGTTTTGCGAATCGCTATAGCGATCGCAAAAAGTCAATGTCTAGCGAAAAAACTGTCAGGCGGGGTAACTGTCTAGCGAGGCACCACTGTATTTGTTTCAATCAAGCAGAGACCATGCAGTTTTTTGCTTGGAGTAAAGGACGAGATGGTGCCCCTCCATTCTAAGTCTAGAATGGCAGTTGAACATTGTTTGGCACTAGTAATGGGTAGGGCCCTCCATAACATTTGATGGCAGAGAATAATCCAGGGTTACAGGATTATATCTACAGCTCTTCTTCTAAGGCAGCAGAATGACTAGGTAGCTCAGGAGAAACAGCTGGGAGGCTGACCTTCATAGCATATGCCACCTGAGATGGTTGCCTCATTTCATATAATGATCATCACACCCACAGCTCTTGCTGACTCCAAGCCAAGGCAAAAGGTCAAGGAAGGAAATTCACTGGATTTTCAGCCTGCAATGGCTTTTAATGTTTTACCTCTCCATAGAAAACAATGAGGTGAATGATTGAGACAGGAAAGAAAGTTAAGCACATGCTTCATTTGTATCCATTGAAGTCAGTGGTGTTGAAATAAATGAATGGGGAACTTTGATTGGATTATGCAGAGTGGCGTGGATCCTAGATTCACTCTAAGGGAATTTTTTGCTGTGTCTGTGGTGTCCAATGCTGTGACCCACTCATTCTCAAGGGTTTCCCCATTCCTCATTAACAAATTTTCGGGAAAAAAGTGAGAAGAAGAAGACAGGAATGCAATCCCATTAATATGAATTTTAATTTATCAATGGAAAAAATGAGGATCCAAGCCAAGAACAGTGAAGCAATCTGTTAGGCAATTGTCACATATGCCATATGTACTCACAGCTATAAAATGAAATATGAAACTGTGGCTATATGGCTGCACTGGTTTTGAGAATCAGCATTTGGTGCTGGTTTCCACTGTCTAGATTCCAATGCTGCTCTTCCTTTTCCACGCCACACAATAAGAAGTGACTAGGGCAGGTGGTGAAGACAACACAACTACCTTTCAGTACTAAATATGGGTATGCAGGAGAAGAAGGTACTGAAGCAGCTGTTAACTTTTCCACTGGACCCCATCAAATTTCCAGCAGAAATGTAGGTCTCTTTTCAGAGACTCTAAAATTATATGAACTGTTGGAATTTTAGAAAATGAGGCGCCTCAGAAATATGTGTTCCTGCCATTTTGTCCGTTGTGTATTCTAGATTTGCGAATAAGAAGGCAACATTCCTCTGAAAGTGTTTCCAGCATTAATAGTGGCACCAGCCATTCAAGTATGGGCAGCGGTAATGATGCTGACTCCAAGAAAAAGAAAAAGAAAAATTGGGTAAGTGATCTACAGATTGATGTGTTTATTGACTGCCCTTTTGTGTTGCGCCCTATTTCATAAAGAACACAACAGCCAATGTAAATAACAATTTTAGTGAGTTTTTAAATAGCAACTGCTGGATAACTCAATGGTTTAGGCATCTAACTATGGAGCCAGAGGTTGGGAGTTTAAGATTCCCACTGGCCCTCCTTGAGAGGGGCTGGATTCGATGATCCATAGGGTCCGTTCCAGCTCTGAGATTATAATAATAATTATGATTATGACACTGCTAATACTGCTATGACTAGTTAGAGATGAATTTGTTTGTGCCTAGTGAGGTACTAATGTTTCAAACCAAAGCAATTTGGATCACTGTAAATGTCAACATTTTCTAGATTTACGATACATTCTATCAGATTGTTTTACTGTCCATAGTACTTGAATAAATCACGAAAGAAACCTGACAGGAATGTTTGAATATAGATAAACTGTATGTGAGCTTATACCTATCAAAAGGACTTTAAATTTTACTGAAATAATAGGAGAATTTACTTTTGTTGTTTAAAATATGTTTATTACACAGGCAATATTTTAAAAATACTGATTCCAACTTCATTCCCTTGATTTGTAATTGCACACTCTTTCATGTTTCTGCAAGGTGAACTCTAGAGGAAGTGAGGTGAATATAAACCCCTGGAAAATTTGGCATGCCTCTCAAAGAACTCTATCTCAGCATGATTGCTATTCATTTTGGCAGTAGGCTTTTGTACCCTTCTAAAACAGATTATTCTTTATGTCTCTTTAGTTTTTTTTCCTCTGTTCATTTTACCTTCAACTTTGAAATCAGAAAGGGGGAGTGTTGCCAAAATCCATTTCTTTCTCATTAGAAAACCAGAAAGAATATAAAATTATGGTAATCCAATCAGTGCCTACACTCCCACTCTTGGACTTATTTTTGTAGAATAAAATGCTTCAACATTTAGTAGAAGAATGATTTGGTAATCCAAGCACGTATTTTGGGAGGGGGGCACATTTTTCTCTTGGTATGAGTTACATGTGTTCATAAGATTTTGACAGCTCAAAAATAACTGTATAACGTGCAATGCAAACGTAACTTTTGCCATTTCAAATCCTGAAATAAATGGCTCTTTGGCTATTCTGTCCCTTTCAGTAATGGATAAGAGCTTCTAAAACAAAAGGCAATGCTTGTATATATGAACTTGCTTCTTTAAAACAGAACTGCAGTAAATGCCTCCTCTTTCCTGACCCTTCCAGCTTCTTGCCAACCAAATAGGCAAACATCATATTGCAGCTTAAATATGCTTATTTCTGATCCATGCTATTGTAAAGTAGCGGTTCTCCAGAAATCATACAGAAAAATCATACTGATTGGAAACATTTTTAAAAAACCAATAATTTTAAACAATGTGGCTATTTAAGACCGGTCACCTTAAAGGGAATGCCCAAAGAACAGGCTTCCGCAGGAGGTGTTGGGTTTTAAATGAGCATCTGTTTAGCTGTACCACTTGATTCTGCACTTTTTCCATAGTACTGTGCTCAATCAATTTGAGAAAGCACTCTGTCATTTTGTGTTCTTAAAGATACTGTACTGCGTATGTTAATACCTTGCTTTATCTAAGTACTTACCTCAGGCAGTGGCTAGATTGGCACCTGCAAACTAACTTTTTCAGTCAAACATAAAGTGAACCAGCTCATCAAAGGCAATCCACATAAATGCATTTTCTTTCCTTTTCTTCTTAGCTAAGAAGTTCCTTCAAACAGGCCTTTGGGAAGAAGAAATCTGCCAAGCCTCCTTCCTCACATTCTGATATAGAAGAAGTAACAGATTCATCTCTTCCATCCTCACCCAAATTACCCCACAACTCTGGAGATTGTGGAACTTCATCAATAAAGCCATCCCAGTCAACGTCTGCGTATGTTTTCCACTTTCCACACAAGTCTTTCTTGGAAAATATTGATTTTGTTAGAGGAACAACCTTTGAATCAGTAATTGGTATTTCAAAAACCTTGAAATTTCCTCTGAACTTTTGATCGTCTGCCTCTTTTCAAAATTGGGCCTCTTCACTCATCATTTCTAAATTTGCCTATGTTTCTGATTACTCAGGCAAACTCTCGCTTCCTGCATTTGTCTGCCGCTTTTTGTACTTCCCTATAACTTTGAAAAACATTGATCTAGCTTTCCTTTTTTTTGTGGAGGCCAATAATATTATGTTCATGAGTTTTCCCTGTCATTCTCCGTTCCTGCCTCAGAGCCTTTCAGACACACCTCAACTCCCAGAAACAAGAACAATCAATGTGCAGTGTGGCATACGTTTTCATGGCTCTGACCCCTGTTGTACCAGATGCATGAAGTGCTACACACACTTGATTGTGTCTGTATCTGTGCATATAAACAATACACATGGAATAAGGAAGAGAAGAATGATGTTAAAATATGTGCTTTATAGAAAATTTGTAAATGAGATCTAGTCAACCACATAGGAGATGCAGAGAGGATGTGTTCCACTGTTAAACAGTAATGAATCAGCACTTACATATGGCCAAAATCACCTAAGGTGTGGAACTAGTGAAACAGCTTTCTCAAGTGAACTAACAATTTTCCCTCTTTCTCTTGTTTGATGCTGGCCTTTCCAGTTAGCTGGGGTTTTGACCATCAAAATACTTAAACACTATGCCAAGAATTGTTGGATTATCTAGGCAATAAAGCCCTGAAATGTTCTTATTTCTAAGGATTTACTTTCCATATTGAAGGCAGCAGTTTGTCAAAACTGACTGTCTAGGTTGCCTCTTAGGGCCAAACTGAACAGAATATTCAGCTAACATACAGTATTTGTTCTTCCAGTGATTGAATTTCCCCACAGCTGCATACCTCAGCAATGGACTAGCAAATCAACCCTGTGTTTAACTTTTGATGACTTATCACAAAAAGAAGGCAAGCTAATTTACAGGTCACAGAGGTGTGAAATGTTCATGCTAAGATAAACAGATGTCTTTTGTCACTTAAGGAAATTTGGCTTCTAAATGGGAGCTGAATTTGTTGTCCCATTTGACCTAAGTTATCTCCAGAAATGGGGAGGGAACAGGCAGTCCCAGGGGCCCAAAGGCAAACCCACATCCCCATTTAAAAAAACAACAACACACACACACAAACTGAAGATGTCCCCTTATGCCCTCTAAGTGAGGTGGGGGTCAATTTCTCTTGATCTGAGTGGATGCAAGCATACCACTTCCACCGTAGTTTTTATTTTTAAAAATATTTTGGGCCAGTAAATGAGATAAGACTTTTTCAGTTCAAAGCACACACACAATTTTTGTAACAACATGGGGATGGATGCAGCCCTTCTAGATGTAGGGATAAATGTGTCCAGCCTCCAGACCTCTGGGTGTTGTCTGCTCCTGCCATAAGCACTCAAAATTTTGTATCAGGATCCCATACATCCTATGTCAGTTCAGGCTAGATGGCATCACTTTGTACTGTGAGGTAAGGCCAGGATGGGATCAAAAATCTGAATGCTTTATCATCTCAGAAAACATCCTGCATGTTTAAAACTGAGCTTTAAGAGAAACAGACTGGTTCAGATGACTTGATTAGCAAGTTATATGTAAATTCAGGCACTGAGATTGTGATGGCATATACACTTTGTAGGGAGAAGGGCCTTTGAACTCAGCAAGACTCACAGGATTGCATTTTCAGACATTTGCTTGAAGTCTGATTTTGGGGAAGGGGTATTCATTCAACACAATGATGCCTGGCACAAACCTATCTTTGCTTTGAAACATTTTTTTGTTTAGTTTATCATTCCATTTCCCTCCAAAACCTCTTGTATTTTCATTCTATTGCAGTTATTTTTCCCCCCTTGCACCTAAGCCTCATGTTCTAAACTGTTTCCTTTGCTTTCTTCCACTTGCATCTGTCTGTTTAATACATGTATATGCAGGTCATCCCTAATCTGGGCTCCAAAGAAAAGGCAAAACGGTCATGTGATCTACAAGCATAGATCCCGGTAAACTGGCATGTGGGACTTGAAAGTATACAATGGTCCCTTCCCCCTTCCTCTTCAAAGTCTTTGTAGTTACTCACTGGAGAAGGAAATATAGAAGTTTTGGGTTTATATTATAGTACCTGATGTAGAGTAACATGTAACCTACAATACACAGAATATTATTGTGTGAACTATGAGGATGAAATGCAGTTCTATATAGGCATAGCAATATAGCATAGCAATATTCTTTGTTCCAACAGGCAAGGATACTTTCATCAAAAACTGAATTTCTTTAAGTTGCATCTTATATGCCTTCAAGGGAAAAAAGAGAAATGATCAAGCTTCATTTTGCACAGACTGTTCATTCTCTTTATATGATTATTTTCTCTTTTGCGTGTAGAGCATTCTGTAACTTATAGAGAACAAAGAGAAGTCTCATCAGAGCTATTGGGTTGTGGTTATATTTTTTTTTGCAACAAAAGAAAAAACAGCAAGTCAGAGCAGAAAATTCTAGATAAAAATTGAACTAGGCCACTATTCCACAAATATATCATTTTATATTTCCATTTATGGAGAAGAAATATCTATATTGAAAAATATACTCTGTTATATGGAAATTAGAGGTAATGTGACATTACATTTGTGAGCATACAGCCACATTTGCCATTCACTATATGGGGATTTAGTTACAGTGGTGCCCCGCAAGACGGGCGCTCCGTTTGACGATGAAATCGCATCATGATGAACTTTCTGCGATCGCAAAAGCGATCGCAAAACGATGTTCCCTATGGGGGAATTTCGCTTTGTGATGATTGGTTCCCAAAGCAGAGGATCATCGCAAAGCGATGATTTTTTAAACAACTGATCGGCGGTTTCAAAATGGCTGCTGGGTAAACAAAATGGCCACCCACTGTGTTTTGGCATGGATTCCTCACTGCACAGGCAGTGAAAATGGCCGCACTATGGAAGATCTTCGCTGGACGGTGAGTTTGAAGCCCCTAGGAACACATTAATCTGGTTTTAATGCGTTTCTATGGGCTTTTTAAAATCGCATCACAATGTTTTCGTTCTACACCGATTTCACTGGAACAAATTAATGTTGTGATGCGAGGCACCACTGTATATGGTGTGAAGAATTTCTGTGCTGGCAATGGACATTTAAGATGTTTGCTTACAATGGTGGAGATCCCACCATTATAATCTATATGGTTGGTTTCCTTTTACGTTATGATCTTAACTGCATGGAACCACTGCAGTATAAAATCATTGGTCACTAATCTCCACACAGCTGAAAAAATGTGTCAAGTAACCCTAGTGATGACTATGCACATTCATATTTATAACTCAATGGCCAAAATTCTGTTCCTTTGCATAATAAATTGCTCTAGATTAGACCAATTGAATTAGGGTCTACTCTAACTGTGACTTACTATGCTAAAGAAAGTCACAGTTAGAGGAAGCCCATTTGAATCAATGAAACTGACAGAGGAATTGACTCACTAAATCCCTGTTGATCCAATTGACCTAATCTATTGCGATTTACTATACTAAGCAAAAGGATTTGGGCCAATCAATGAAAAAAGCAATTATATATCAGACATGATAGTCATAGCCTTAATTAAACCGGACCTCACCTTAAATACAGTACTCTATCAAGGGGTCTATCAAATGGGTCACATATTCAGCAGTATGTCTTTAGCAACCAAGTAACAGAAGCCAAGTGTTTAGTAAGTAAGAAATAGTAATGCATGGGCCTGTAATGGATCAATAATGGATTAGTGCTATAAATATATTTTTGTATTACTCCTTACAGAAAGCACTGGCAAAGCTAAATGAACTGTTCATTTCAACTCCAGTTCTTTACTTTTAATCACTGCTGTTTCAGAAAATCATTAACTTTTTATGAAAGTAATAAAGCAATGAGTCTTGTGTTAAATACAGTCTTCCTCCACTTAGGACAGAAAAATAACCTTGGACAACAATTACACTTCATGTAAATGGAAAATTGAGAACTAAATAGGAAACCTATAAAATCAAGCTTATGATTTTATTGAGATATTTTTCCCCTTTTCAGTGTTTTTAAATGGAAACCATTTGTGCTGCGTCGATGAAATTCTCTGTCCTGCTCCTAGAGTCACCAGTATTATTTTTTTTTCTTTGCTTCACTGTAGAAGAGAACATTCATTTAATCTTCTGCCTCTTTACTTTCTCCATTTTTAAAAAAGGATCTGTGAATGCACAGAAGCAGAGGCTGAAATAATTCTGCAGCTGAAAAATGAACTCAGGGAGAAAGAGCTCAAGTTAACAGATATTCGCCTCGAGGCTCTCAGCTCAGCGCACCATCTTGACCAGATTCGAGAAGCCATGAACCGCATGCAGGTTAGCTCAGTAGAACAACTGACTGGAGAATTACTCAAGAATACCCTTTCTTTAAATCTACAGACTGCTATCACTCTGGCTTGAAAAGAGATCAGTGGAAATAATTAAGCTAAGATTTTTCTGAGATTTAAAGATAATGTAATATGCTAACAGAATCCACTACATTTAGATCACTATATTTTTTCTCTGTCTTTAAAAAGTACTGTTTGGCTTAATGTTCTTTTCTCAGCTGCTGGGCATGACCTCGCTATAATTGGCAGTTCCTTTGGAAAATGTTGCTTAAAAATCACTTCAGAAAGGAGACAGAGAGGCTGCTATAGCTTTAAAAGAGTTTGAGTTGCTTCACCTTTTCAGGACAGCAGACCTATTGATTTCTATCACTTGCAATTATGCCCTTTTACCTTCTTTTTCTAGTAGTTCTGTTTCTAAGCTTGTACACCACTTTGTGTCATGGGTGACCATCCATTGAGATCACTGAACTAAATCAGCCAGCACAGTGATTCTAAAATGTTGGATTGTAGTCTCATGCATGATCATTAACTGTACAATATATGAGCACTCCACTTCACTGGAGAAGCTGTACTTGTTTCAGTAGGACTTTCTTGCAGTTAAGCATTTACAGGATTTTGCCCTAAGACATCCTAGTTGTAGCACATATAATTATACCTTTGATATCAGTAGAACTTGTAAATTAAGTGTAGTCATAGCTCACTTATTTCATTTATTTCAAAAGTGAAATAACTGAACATAAATCCAACTCTATGTTTGTCTGAGCATTGATCCAATCCTGTGTAGCTTCAAGGATTTGTCCCATCCCTCAAAAGCTGTTTGGAAGAAGTGCAATTTTTGGCAACATTAGTAGATACCAAAAGAATTTGTTGTTTCTCAGTGCCACCTTTCTCTAACGCCTTAATTACTTTCTTGCCTAATAGATTTTTTAAAATCTTTATGACTCAGTTGGGTACCTGGCTGTAAAACCAGAGGTTGTTTGATTCCCATCTGTGCCTGTTGGGAAGAGAACCAGCCTATATAGCCTTGGGCAAGCTGCACAGTCCCAGTGTGCTCCTAGAAGAAGGGAATGCTAAACCTCTTTGGAGTTCTCTATACCTAGAAAACTCTGGAAAGGGTTGTCATAAGTTGGAATCGACTTAACTGCATGTAATTATTATTAAGTTTTCTAATCTTCCATTTTTAAAATTATTAGGAAAATGTGAATGCAAAATGTTTTTAAAAGAAAAAGTTCATCATCTGCAATTGGTTGTACTTCATAAAACAACCCAACATTTTATTTTTTCTGTGAATTCTTTACCGAGCACTACCTACATTTCAGTACCATTCTTGTCATGTAGATCAATCATTCAAGACTGTTTAGGCTTAGCTAGGAATAAGAAATCACTTAGGAATATTGATTCTTCTGTTACTGATCATGCAAGGTTCAAAGTAACAGGTGGAGCCTCCATGCATTTAGCAGGTTCATTTACATATCAGCATCCTTATTGTCCAGAGTTGTCTATTGCTATGTAGAAAGCCATCAAAGTGTGCACTTTCAGTACCATTGTGCCCCCCTATAGCCAGCCATACTGCACTGCTGACAGAGGTTTATGTTTACTGTAGCCTACAGTGTCAATACAAAGGGACAAACATGATAGTAGTATTAAAGAGAGGCAATAACATGTGCAGATGGCAGAGGACAAATGTGAACAAAATGATTACCCCTTGTAAACTGCCGGTTAGAGGCAACCTAATGGTACAACTAACCTTCAGGAGCTATTTGCCCTCAAATTAAAGGCAACATTTAAAATTTATTAGGAATTTTATGATAGATTTCAAACCTAAAAGTTCACAATTCTGTATGCCCTGCATCCAATCCCACTTTAAAAGCAGCTTCTAAAATTGTTTGGCTTTGGCAATAAACTATGAATACTCATGAAGACTTAAATTCTCCTGACACCGTCAATCATTTTAAAATATTGATTTCTTATATTTTAAATGCCAGAATGAAATTGAGATATTGAAAGCTGAGAATGATCGTTTGAAAGCAGAGACTGGAAACCCTGGGAAGCCACCTCGGCCGTGTTCAGAGTCCTCAAGCAGCACATCTTCCTCCTCTTCACGGCAATCTTTGGGGCTCTCTTTGAATAACTTGAATATCACTGATTCGGTCACATCAGGTACAATTTAAAAAGTTGTCCTTTAGATGTTATTGTGATGTAACAGAGTTCCCATACTTGCAAGAAGCCTTGATCCAGAACACTGAATGGAACATGTACCATCTTGTTTTCAGCCTTGAAATGTCAGGAGGGCTTCAGTGCTAGATATTAAAAAGGGAACCCAAGGTCTGAGATGATGAAATTTCAATGGGTTTTGATGGACAGGCATCTTAGCTTTCCTGATATAAAATGTTGTTTGTTCAAGGAAATTTGGGTACTTCATTGGAGTCTTGCAAGGAAGTGTGTATTTCCTACCCTTGTAGTTCACCAAGCTGTTCAAAATCCATTTCTGTCGAAAGTCACACCTAGCAAATGTGTCTGGGGAAAGAATCCCAGACACCACTTTTCTTCAGTTCTCCATTTCTTCTTTGACTTTCTGTTTCCTCTGCAAAACATGGATATGTTACCACCCTGAACAACCCAATCTTGTCTGAGCTTGAAAGCTCAGCAGGAATGAACCAGACATGTATTCAAATGGAAGGCCATCATGGAACACTAGGGACTTCTAGTAGGGTTAAAATGGAAGCCTTCTCGAATCACTGGAAAGCTGCTGCTAATAAAAAAAATCACAATGCTGGCTCAGATGGACCAAAGATCTGACACAATATAAAGCAGCTTCCCATGTTCCTGTCCAGCATGATAGGAAAACTCTACAGTCCCATTTATTCTCTTTTTAATTACACAGAATCTCCTTCTTTCTTGTATTGTGGGGACTATATAGTCTCATTCACCAAATAACTCCTTTCTCATTCTGCTCTATGGAGGTTCTTTGGAAGCTACCGGAAGTCATCTTCCTTTAGTGGGAGACTTAGTGGAAGTACTTTTTTTTTGCTTCATTTATAATCATTTAATTAATTAATTTTTATCCCAATTTTCTCTCTTGCCCAGCTTGAAGTGTTTCACAATTACATACTTACCTATCTACATACATACATGAGATGCAATTTGCAAACACAATAAATTATATTATTAAATATCTCATCACATTAAAACAACACAGAATAAACAGTTTGAAATACTATAAAAGAGTATAACATACACCATTAAAAGCACCTTCCTCATCACTGTTTACTATTATGTGCTTACTGTTGTTAAGCACACAACAAACATAAGACAAAGCAAACAAATATTTCATTATCTTCATCTGGACACCCAATGGATCTTCTTCCTTAGGGCAAATGTTGATTTATCTCTTAATATGGTAGACATATAATGGGAAATGGGCTGGCTTTTGTTTTGCTTGCACATTTGTTCCATTTGTATATTTCCATACACATTCTGGCCTATATGCAGTTATATCATTGTCCTAGCTAAAACCCATTGCATTAGAGGTTGTGTATTTTTAGGGTGAGGACAAGGTATTTAATACAATTTTACTCAAACTGTTGCACTGTGAAAAAAGGAGTGTTGCAACCACTTGCATAATCACTTATGCCTTTACAGACACTTAAACAAAAGTCTGCAATCTCATGGACAAGTGATTGTGCAATTCCTTGTGTAGCATATAAGCCAGTGCAGCTTTGCTAGTGAGCGTTTCCACTCAACTAGCATTACATTTGATTTAGGCTTCTTGATGGTCCGAGCTGAGATTTTACTTCAGGGAAAAGAGTTAATGTGTCCATAATATATGATTGACACAGTTTTCATACACTGTTTTTGCCAGCAAAGAAATGACCGTTTGAATCTATTGTAGACTCTTGCTGTAACACTGTTTGCCATTTAAAGATGCACAAGTAAATTTCAGAGTAAAACTACAGAAAAAAAATCAAAATATATTTTGCCAAGCATATTTATAAAGAACCTTTGTATTTGTTGCTTGCTGCCTAGATGTTTTACTGGAAGATGTTACAGATGGCACACTCCATAAAGAAGGCCAGAATGTTAAAATTATAGTCACAATAAACAAGGGCTATGGTCGATCCAAGGTACTATGGCTTCCAGTTCTTATTGCTGTGTTCATTATTATACTTACAATGCTGCTGCAAAGGCTGTATTATACTACCCTAAAGTATGGTCTGTTATGATAAACAGAGAACATTGAAAGCAACATTGTATTTTTCTTATCTGGAATCTATATCAGTGTTATCTTGCCAGTTTCCATTAATAAATCATAAACTACAAATTGCTATGCTGTCCATTCAGGATGTTTCATATGATGTAGCTTGGAATTGTTGAATGGGAAATATAGTCCTTTACCTATACCTAAAGCTACTTCTAAGTGAAGAAACAAGCAAGGAAGTCATTGTATGCTATATGTTCCCTGTTCCCCTAAATCTATCACAGGAAATTGCATATTTCAACTTTATATCTTCCAAGACAGTAAAGAAAAGCTTGACATCTTTGCATTTCACGATTAATGTACTATACGTTATTAAAATAACAGCATACACAGTTGCAGGATGAAATGTCTCATTTTATATCAAATTTACATTGTTTTTAATATCTGATGCATTTCTGAAAAGTGTCATTTATTCTATGGGGAAAATATTCAAATAAGTCTGGAAAAATAAAGCTTTATCTGTGACTGTTTTCCCTACCTTCCCTTTCTCTCCCCCTCTCCCTTTTCATCTTCACAGGACCCAAAAATACAGGCATATCTGATAGGATCTATCGGGGTTAGCGGTAAAACAAAATGGGATGTGTTGGATGGTGTTATCAGGCGGATCTTTAAGGTAAGACCCAAAGCAGTATCATAGGCTAGATTCTGCAATGTTTACCTGATGGTTTGCTTGTAATCCATAACTCTTCCTGAACAAGAGCAAGGATTTAGCTTCATCCAAAAGCCAGTGGGCTGGTTGTTAGGGTTGATGGGAATTCCATTCTAAGTTTTCTACCAAGCCAGAACACTCCCATCTCAATTAATACAATACACAAAACTTTGGAGGCTTCCATTATATCTTGCTTGGGATCAAACAGATGAATGTTCTTAAGATGCCTTTTGTGTTCCTAAGATCTGTGTTGCTCCTTAAAACATGCTGTAAACTTGTCCTTCTGCACATAATAATACCCTGCATTTACATATAGAAAAGTAGCATACTACAGGGAAGATTTTTAGCCTGATTTCCTACTTGCAGGAAATTTGATTTGTTTGACATTGTATTGAGTCACAAGCACTGTGAAGTAAAAACAGACACTAGGGCACAGATGATAATAAGGACTGTATCTAAGAGAGACTTGCACCTCCTTCAAACTAATTTTGTAGGTAAAATTAGAATATGTTCTTATTGCAAATAATTATTCTGCACCATGGCTGGTGTAAAATTAGAATTTGTCACTGCTAAATCAAGAAATGCTGATTCATTTTACAACTTATCTTCCATGTTTCTCACAATTATTTGACACCTGTGCCATTTCAGTAAGGGGTTTCCTGTTGAAGCCAAGCTAGATCTACCATGTACTGGTCCAACTAGATTTGTGGTATAGGTACTTAGCTCAGTGTACCCACAAACAAGAAGACAAAACATCTGTAAATCAATGAGAGAGAAACTACAAAGTGGTTCATCTATGTTGTTTTTTAGATGTCATAACATACATTTTTGGTCCATTTCTGCACTGAAGAACTAACAATGTTTCTGTATTCGGAGTTTCCACTGCCAAAGAAAGCTTTAGAAACACTAAAGATCTTTTTCCAAGGTTACCTCTACTGTTAGGCAGATAGCAGAGGTGGCTACAGGCACGTGATCTGGCAACAAAATGGTAGTTTTGCATTTTTATTTACAGCAAGCCATGCATGTAGGGTTTTCTAGTTCAGAGACTAAAATAATTTGGCCATGTTTTGATGCCTATAAAGCATGACTTTTGGCAGCACCATTCGCTGCTAAACTCAGTCATAGTCTTGGAACAAGAAACCCTGTTGTCCACGTGTGGTGTCCCTTATACCCAAAAAATATTTAAATCTTCTCTAGAAGTTTTCAATACAAGGGAGAGAAGTCAAAATCCAGACATTACCACGCAAGCCACATATTTGGATTTCGGTCCATAAACCTTGACTCAGGTATAGTTCAGAGACTAAAATAATTTGGCCATGTTTTGATGCCTATACAGCATTACTTTGGCAGCACCATTTGCTGCTAAACTCAGTCATAGTCTTAGAACGAGAAACCCTGTTATCCACGTGTGTTGTCCCTTATACCCGAAAAATAATTAAATCTTCTCTGGAAGTTTTCAATACAAGGGAGATAAGTCGAAATCCAGACATTACCACACAATCCACATATTTCGATTTAGGTCCATATACCTTGACTCAGGTATAAGAAAGCCAGAGAGTTCCAGAAAAACATTTACTTCTGCTTCATTGACTATGCAAAAGCCTTTCACTGTGTGGACCACAACAAACTATGGCAAGTTCTTAAAGAAAGGAGAGTGCCTGGCCACCTTATCTATCTCCTGAGAAATCTATATGTCAGACAGGAAGCAACAGTTAGAACTGGATATGAAACAACTGATTGGTTCAAAATTGAGAAAGGAGTACGGCAAGGCTGTATATTGTCTCCCTGCTTATTTAACTTATATGCAGAATACATCATGCGAAAGCCCGGACTGGATGAATCCCAAGAAGGAATTAAGACTGCCAGAAGAAATAACAACCTCCAGTATGCAGATGATACCACTCTGATGACAGAAAGTGAGGAGGAATTAAAGAACCTCTCAATGAGGGTGAAAGAGGAGAATGCCAAAAATGGTCTAAAGTTCAACATAAAAAAAACCCCTAAGATCATGGCCACTGACCCATCACCTCCTGGCAAATAGAAGGGGAAGATATGAAGGGAGTGACAGATTTTACTTTCTTGGGCTCCATGATCTCTGCAGATGGTGACAGCAGCCACGAAATTAAAAGATGCCTGCTTCTTGGGAGGAAAGCGATGACAAACCTAGACAGCATCTTATAAAGCAGAGACATCACCTTGCCAACAAAAGTCCACATAGTCAAAGCTATGGTTTTTCCTGTAGTGATGTAAAAAGTAATTATTATTATAATTGAAATTCAATAAAATGACTAATTACAGACTCACTAAAATCAACATAGAATACAACACAACAATAAAAATAAAATAAAATTACACAAACTTCACCTTCATTGTTCATACAAAACCTTAGAACAGATTAGCCTTTTTTCTTCACCTGACGGATTAATACTCTACATCAGGGATATAAATATTCATTCATCTCAGGACAAAAGCAGAGACATCACCCTGCCAACAAAGGTCCGCATAGACAAGGCTTACCACCAAAGAATTGATGTTTTTGAATTGTGGTGCTGGAGGAGACTCTTGAGAGTCCCCTGGACTGCAAGGAGATAAAACCTATCAGTTCTGAAGGAAATCAACCCTGAGTGCTCACTGAAAGGACAGATCCTGAAGCTGTGGCTCCAATATTTTGTCCATCTCATGAGAAGAGAAGACTCCCTGGAAAAGACCCTGATGTTGGGAAAGTGTGAAGGCAAGAGGAGAAGGGGACGACAGAGGACGAGATGGTTGGACTGTGTCATCGAAGCTACCAACATGAATTTGACAAAACTCCAGGAAGCAGTGGAAGACAGGAGGGCCTGGCATGTTCTGGTCCATGAGGTCACAAAGAGTGAGACACAACTTAACTTCTAAACAACAACAACCTTGACTCAGCTCCTACGTTTGCAAAATCTTTGTTGCTAGAGTTTTTTTCAGAGGACTTTGCTGCTGTAATACGATTTTCCATCTAGTTTCTGTGTCCTCTTTATATTCTAGAACCATCTTCAATTTTTAAAAGGAGAGTGTTAATATTTGTAGTCAAGCATATTTGTGAGAAGCACAGTTTCTGTAAGTGTAAACAATACTTCATAAACTCTTGCATTTCACTTTTCCCACACTGCTGTTCACTGGATCTGCTGATGCTCTGTTTGTTTCATTTTAATAGGGCTTCCTTTTTCTTTACTACTTGATCCCAGCATAGTCTCAGAAACCAGGTAGTGAATGTTATGACATTACTGGGCTACATAAGGCTGCTCCATGCATGCATCCCATGAATGAGCATAATACATAGATTGGGGTTGCGGCACACACTTCAAGTTCATGTGCTAGTGCTATTGCTGGCCTTGCTCCAGACATCCATGTGTTAGGCATGAATGTTTGCAAAGAAAAAAAAAACTGTGCGTATAGCTCTATGTATTCTTGAACCCTGATTATGCAGGCATCTATACCTGAGGCATGGATATTGGAGGTGGGGCTGGCAGTGCTGCATGACCTCAGGGGCTGGGGCAGAATGTGACCCTTTGGCTCTCTTTTACACATGATGCCTTTCCACAAGTTGTGAAGGGGGCTTCCACCAATGTGGCAGCAGCGAGGACAAACAAGGCTGCTTCAATCTCAGCCTGAAGCCCCAGTCTGTCACCAGTTACTTAAGGATGTATTCTGTCATGCATAGCTAGGTGAGTATCAGAATGCTCATTCAACCACACAACCTCTGAGAGAAGCACATTTCACATATACAGTGTGCACTTGGAAACTCAATATGCATTCGAATTCATTTAATTTAATATACTATTAATCCCCTGTTTAATCTGCGATAGGGTAGCTATATTAGCTGTTGTGTTGTAAGCAAAACCAACAAAGAGTTTTGTGGACTTAAAGACTTAAACAAAGTCTATTTGGTAGACTCTTTGTGTGCTATATCTGATGAAGTGGGCTACACCCCACAAGTGTTTATTATGCCAAATAAACTGTGCTAATCTTTATGATGCCACATAGGCCTTTGCTGGGGTTCCCCCCCCCCTTTATAATCTGGTTGTCTTTGATTCATGCTGCATGAGCTGCTCTCTATTGCACATATTTTATGTTATCATAAATGTCAGAATAGCTGGAAATTATATGAGGTCCAGTGGGAAATATCAGAAATCACAACCTCCTTTTTGACATTTACACCTAAACCACTGTGAATGTTCTTTTCTGCACATGTTGGAAATGAGTGTGGCATTTGGATACCAACGTGAATGTACTTACTCTATCCTGCCACATATGCTTATGTTTGTCCTTTTTATTATAGGAATATGTTTTCCGAGTGGATCCAGCTACTAGTCTTGGTTTAGGCTCGGACTGTATAACTAGCTATTGTATAGGTGACATTGTGAGATCTCATAGCCAAGAAGTGCCTGAATTGCTACCTTGTGGATATTTGGTTGGAGATAATAACATAATCACTGTGAACCTTAAAGGTAAAACATCACTTACTTTTTATTCCCTTCCTCCTCTCTGTATACTCTAAATACGATTTTCACCACACAACTCCTATTCAATCTTGTGTGTTAATTTTTCCTCCTACAATTTTTTAGCACTTTGCAACACCTCAATCTCAGAAATTCATAATTGCTTAAGTGAACTCTTGGATATTATCCAGACAAAGTCAGTAAAAATACAGTTAGGAATAATGCTAATGGTACACAACAAGCATCTAAAACCACTGGATCTCAACAGCACATGAGACATTCTCTCTGCAGCAGTAGACCATAAATATAAATCCGATTTAAGGCATCAAGGTATCTGGTATACTGAGAGTTGAGATGTATCTTCTTTTACAAGGAAAAGTGGCTGCCATTTCTAGCAACCATAAATAGAGAGGTGTTGATTCAGATACCCATTTTTCATCCTACAAGATCCAATTAGTGTTCAGTGTAGTAAACATGTTGACGTAGGAATGGATGGATGGATCTTTTCTAGTCCACATTATTTTTCCAAACATTCAATTAAAAGTATTCTCGAAGGCTTTCATGGCTGGGATCCAGTGGTTGTTGTAGGTTTTTTGGGCTGTTCAGCCGTGTTCTGGAGGTTCTCCTTCCTAACATTTTGCCAATCTCTCTGGCTGGTATCTTCAGAGGACAGGAGTTAGAACTCTGTCTGTTCTAACTCCTGTCCTCTGAAGATGCCAGCCATAGAGACTGGTGAAACGTTAGGAAGAAAAACCTCCAGAACACGGCCAAACAGCCCGAAAAACCTACAACAACCATTTAATCAAAAGTCCACCCCATCCCATTTCTGAATCAATTGGTAACATACAGTGGTGCCTCGACTTACGAACTTAATTGGTTCAGGAAGATGGGCGTAAGTCGAAATGGTCATAAGTTGAAGCACCATTTCCCATTGAAATGCACTGAAATGCAATTAATCCGTTCCAGCCGAAGGGAAAAAAAAAATCATTGCAAGACTAATTGGAAACACGATTAATCCCTTCCGGCCAAAGGGGGGGGGGAGAAAAGCAATCAAGGGTGCAAGACCCATCGGAAATGCACAGAAAACGAAGGGACCAGGTCCGAAATGCAAAGAGAACAAAGGAAAAAGCAAGGGAAGCATGCAAGACCCATCAGAAATGGGGAGGAACCCCAAAAAGCAACCAACTGCCTCCAAGACCCATTGGAAATTGAGGGGAAAAAACCCATTGGAAATGGGAAAAAACACTCCAAAAAGCAACCAAACCCCCCAAGACCCATCGGAAATGGGGGGAGAAAAAAAACAAACAAAACCCCAAGACCAATCAGAAATGGGAGGGAAAAAAACAAACCCCCAAGACGCATCACAGCAAAGAAACATAACCCCCTCAGCCCAAAACCACGCTGCAAAAACACCCAGAACAATTTATAAAAAGCAGAAAACATTACCTTAACTTACCAGGCAGCCTTCTCCGATCGCACACTCTCTAACTGCTGGGGCGAAAGAGCTACAAAGAAGCAGCCTCATCGCCACCTACAGTTCGCAATTTGAATTTCCCACCTTTCCCCCCGCCTTTTTCTGTTCGTATGTGGAAGCTCCAGTCGCAAGTAGAAGCAAAATTTTGCAATTGGACCTGGTCATAACTCGAAATGGTCGTAGGTAGAGATGTTCTTAAGTCGAGGCACCACTGTATTTAAATGCACCAAAATTATCACATTTACGTTTTCCCAATAGACATATTAATATTTTTGTTAATCTAAAAATGTCTATTTCATAAATATTTTTTAATCGTAGAAAGTAAGAATTGTATTAAAATATTTAAAATAATTGCTGGCAAGTCTATTCTGACTTATGGCGACCCTTTTCAGGGTTTTCTAGGTAGAGAGTACTCAGAAGTGGTTTACCATTCCCTTCTTCTTTGGGCATCCTGGGACTGTGCAGCTTGCCCAAGGTCACACAGACTGGCTCTTCCATTTACAAAAGTATAAAAACCAAAGGATAAGTGCATTCCAATCCATGTATTAGTCCAGGAAATGTAAAAGGCCAGACCAAGCACCCCTTGTGGTGGCATGGAGGAACTACACAATGAATCATTTACTTATGGATGGGTAGGATGCTTTCATGTATTATGAGACAGGTTAGATATTACCATCAAACTTTGAGAATGAGTATCACACCCTAACACTTCATGAGGCATTTCCTATTTTAAATATGGTTTTCTTTTCAATTTTAATTATAGCTTTCAAGGACTAGAGTTCTGAATCAACCACTAGCGATGTGGACTTCATATTTTTATATAGCCATTGGGTTTTTCTATTCTGAGGATTTTCAAAAAGACTTTGTGTCATCTGGTGTGATCTCACTCTCTTCTGCTAAACTTTGCTTCTGTAACTTTGACCTTTTTCTTTTAAATGCCTCAAACGTTTGTGATATACATCATTGCCTCGCTGAGTTTTCGCTTCACATTTGCTTTGATTATGCTGCTCCCACTCATTTAGTGATGTGGCCAAGGCATTGTGTAATCTGCGGCACTGTGTAATCTGGGGGGGGGGGCATCGGGGAACATAAGGCAAATCATTTTCAGATGTGTTATTACACCCTTTACCTTCTAACAATTTAACAAAAACAAGAAGGGGGCGAAAACTCAAAGGTTCCTTCTCTGCATATTTACATATGTTACGGAAAACAACAAGGACAGAAATGAAATTACATTCTCTCTCTCTTGTTTTTAGGAGTAGAAGAAAATAGTTTGGACAGCTTTGTATTTGATACATTAATTCCTAAACCAGTTAGTCAACGGTACTTTAATTTATTGATGGAGCATCACAGAATTATCCTGTCAGGACCTAGTGGTACTGGGAAGACCTATTTAGCCAACAAGCTTGCTGAGTATGTGCTAACTAAATCTGGCAGGAAAAAAACAGAAAATGCCATTGCAACTTTTAACATAGATCACAAATCAAGCAAGGTAAGGCATAAGGAACAAAGAGCAATTGTACACCTCTGCTTTTCATGTCATATTTTCTAGCTTATTGTGAATAAAATACAGATGCTTGCTTTATAATAAAGTTATTTACATACAGAAAATTGAATGGCCACACTGTTTTTTCGAGGCAACTCAGAAGGATATAGAAGTTCTGCATTTTTTTTTTTGCTGGACCTTACATCATTTTTCTTTTTTCAGTGGCATACAGTGACATTAGGGATAACTTCAACAATTTCTAATCTCAGCCCTCTCTTTCAATCCACCACTTACTCTTTCAATCCACTACTTCAGAAGCCTTACTTCTGAAAAGTCAAACAATACATTCATATCTACTACATGCATGCCACACCTTATGTACAAGATACAGGTTTAAAAAATGATAATTGCTATTCCTAGGACTTTTTCCATTTTAGTTAATTAGGATCAAAACTCTTATTGACCATTATCTGTAACAATGAAATGTTATATACAAATATAAGATTTAGTAGCAAAAACATCTGGATTGGAATTAGAAGTTCACAAGCTTTTGGTTTGGGACCTCCCACCCAGTCAGATGGAACAGAAGTTTCAATGGGGATGAGGAAGTTGTCCTTTGTTGTAGTCTTTGATAGGTGACATGGCACACCTGACTCAGCTGCAGCTTTCTCTTCTGAAGAAACATTTATATGGTGTGCCTTGCTCCTGCTGTTTTCTCAAACACCTGGACTATAACCAAGTCAACTGGATGTGGCCCAATTGACTCTTCTAGGCTTTGTACCAATATAATTCTTTCTGTATCCAATTGTACTCCTAGATCTTCAGCTGGAACTATTGTTTTTATTTGGATCAAATCACTTTGGGAATTGAATAGTTTAAAAGACATTTACTTAAATAAAAACAACAATAGAAACAATAATGATAAGACCTCCAATTTTATCCTGCCCTGTCTGCCCATCTTTCACTCATTGGAAAAGTTGAACTATGAGAGAACCTGAAGTTTTCATTATCCTTGGCCAAATGCTGGTATTGTTTATATACTATGTACAGTATTTGTTTCAACATCCTAAATTGTGATATTAAATGGATGGGAAATTAATGGGAGTTGCACCTACCAGTTCCACTTCTTCAGGAAAAGAGATGAAATGTTATGGTGAAATAGAACTGTTCACTATCTCACTGCATTGTTCTTCTTTTCTTTAAGGATGTGCAACAATATCTTGCTAATTTGGTTGAACAGTACAACGCTGATAACAGTAGTGCTGACCTTCCTGTGGTGGTAATTCTTGACAACCTCCATCATGTTGGTTCTTGGAGCGACATCTTCAATGGTTTCCTTAACTGTAAATATAACAAATGGTAGGTTTGTGTTTAGCTTGCCTTGAACTAGCCTGTACATAAAGACTGGTACAATAAATGACAGAAGGAAAGATAGACGTATATACCATCAGTCCTATTCAAGCATTTACTTTTGTACCTAAATTAAGAAACATGAGTACTACCATTATTATCCATTCAGTATGTTTCATTCTGAGTGCTATGCACATGCTTTAACGAAACAAATTAATGTTATTAATTTAAACATAAGGATCAAATGATCAAATATTGCTTTTGAATCAAATACTTTGTTTGAGATCTTAGTTCTTGAAGAACTGAAGTCTAGCCCCAAAGAATGTAATGAAAGTGAGATTTTTTTAACATATTAATTTAAAGCTTTTGCATGTGCAATAACATTGTGAAATAAGAGCTTGCATTTCTTACAGCACTGTAGCCTTAATGTTCTGTAATAGATATGGCTGTTGTGAATTGTTTTTGTTTATACAAACACTTTACACTATCTCATATAAAATAATCATAGCCTATTGTACTTGTAAACTATGCGGACCTTTGTCGGCAAGGTGATGTCTCTGCTTTTGTCCTGAGATGAATGAATATTTATATCCCTGATGTAGAGTATTAATCTGTCAGGTGAAAAAAAAAGCTAATCTGTTCTCAGGTTTTGTATGAACAATGAAGGTGAAGTTTGTGTAACTTTTTTATTTATTTACTGTTGTGTTGTATTCTATGTTGATTTTAATGAGTCTGTAATTAGCCATTTTATTGAATTTCAATGATATTGTTTTTTCTTGAACACCATCTCAAGATTTTTTTTTCTTATTTAAAAAAAGTGTATTAAATTCATGGACTAACAATTTTGAACCTTTTTTTAGTCCCTATATTATTGGAACCATGAACCAAGGAGTTTCTTCTTCTCCTAACCTAGAATTGCATCAAAACTTCAGGTAAATGGCGTTCTTTATGCTTATGAGCATAATCCTATGCATATTGACATGGAATTAACTTCTCTGAGTTTCAGGGGGCTTTTTTCCAGGTAAGTATGAATGCATTGCAATTGAAAACACTTTATTTTGCTCTGCTCTTGTGAAAGCCTTTGGAGTAAGTTATTTTTTAATTCTCTCTGACACACTCACATATTTGTTCTTTCTAATGTGAGTATATGGATCAAAAAGCAGTCACAGATATAAAAAATCCCTGATGCACATGAAAGTGCAGATAAATGAATAAAATGTCAAGTAGCCCTTGACGTATCAGATTCTCCAAGCTAAGGAAGTCAAGGCATCTTTCTACCACATTTGCCAGGCAGGCAGGTAGTACAAATTATTTTTTACTCTGTCAAAGTTGCATAGTTGATTTCTCCTATGATGCTGTGACCATACAGTTAATTTTTCTACAGTGTTGGGCTGGGCAAAAACTGCATTAAGATATACTAGGCTGGGCTGGGTGCATCTCAGATTCAAGAAACTGAAATTGAAGAGTAGGTTTGTGTTGTTAATGACAAAAATGAGACCTCATATGGTAGGTCCATAACCCAGTACTGAAGCCTATTTATGCACAGCAGTGAAGCAAATGCAACAGGGCAAGGTCAGGAGGAAGACACATTGTCGAGCTCTAACCCCAGTTGTGAATCCCTAACATCCAGTAATCAGAGATATATTACCTTGTTGACACAAAGTATACATATAAGAAACTACAAGTCATATCTTCCATGTCAGTATTTAATCTGTTAGTTTTAGCCCTTTATTCTAGAGTCTGTCACAACAATTTATGGGGATAACTGCTGCGGACAAATTATGTGGAATATAAAGAAGGCCTTCTTATTGTTAGTTTTGAATCTGCTACAGTTGATGACCTGGAAATTCTACATTTTGAACCCGCTTTTTTTATTATTCATTCTTTGTCTATGTAGGTGGGTACTGTGTGCTAATCACACAGAGCCTGTTAAAGGTTTCCTATCCAGGTATTTGAGAAGGAAACTGATTGAGACAGAAATAGAGATGAATGCTCGCAATAATGACCTCATCAAGATTATTGACTGGATACCTAAGACCTGGCATCATCTCAACAGCTTCTTAGAAGCGCACAGTTCTTCTGATGTTACAATTGGTGAGACTTTTCTTCAATTAATAATGGTAATTAAAGGTCAAACTGAACCTTAAGGCTTAGCTAAACTTACAGACTTACTGTGAGTCTGCTTCCCGGATGTCAGAATAATTAGCTGCTGCCCTTTGGTGCCGGAAGAAAACATCTGGGAGCTGGTTGAACTGGAAGTTTTGTTTACACACCTGGTACTACTATTTCCCTGCTATAATTAAAATGTTCCCTGTAAAAGAAAAGATACAAAACCATTTTCTTTTCACTTCTTAATCGTATATTGGTTGAGTTCTCTCCTTCCCTTATCTTTTTGTTTGTTTTCAATCAGTTTATGAAAATGATATAAAATTATTTTTCTCAAATCCTAACAGGACTTCCGTCTGTCCTTCCGTCTGTCCTTCCGTCTGTCTTTCTTTCTTTCTTTCTTGAGCTCTCTCCTTCCCTTATCTTTTTGTTTTGTTTTCAATCAGTTTATGAAAATGGTATAAAATTATTGCTTATTTTTCTCAAATCCTAACAGGACTTTCTTTCTTTCTTTATTTCCTCCCTCCCTCCCTCTTCTCCTCTGTTTTTTTGGTAGATACATATTCATGACATTTTACAGTTCATTTCTTTACATTACAACAGAATTTGCCCTTGTAGTTAAAACAGAAAACAATTTTAGGAATAAAACTGAGGAGGGGGAGATTTCAAAAACAGAAAAGCGGCAGAGCATCATCAAACATTAGTCTTTCTTCAACACGACTGTTAGTTATTTTAGTCTGTAGCTGCATATTGGAATGTAAGGCTTCAGAATCACATCCCACATCTTTGCCAGTAAGATGTCTTGGAAAACCATGGCTGTAAGCAACATCTGTGAAGTTTAGTTCAGACAATATTTCTCTTTTGTCTTATAACTCACATTCTGAAATTTATCTAGTCTTCCCTTCAGCATCAAGCTGCTTCCCTGTCCTTCTGTGATGACAAAAGCAACCAAGTCATTGGTCACCAGAGTGGTTATTAGCTGGCTATGTGAAGGACATTAAAATCATAGCAAATCCATGCCTTCTCCTTAATCCCCACCCCAAGCCCTTCACTTCTCTTGTTCTGAGTCTCCTGACTGCCAACCTGGTACACAGTGACATTGCAGTGCTCTAGCCAGTTACACCGAGAGAAGCAGGAAGACAGAAAGTCAAGAGCAATGAATGAGATTACATAATTGTTGGATAAGATTCAAAATTTTATGTTTAAAGATAGATAAAAAAACATAAACAAAACCTGAGCTTTTCTTTATAAACATTCTCAAATGGCCACAAGGTACTTCAGCAACCACTACATAGCAGTTGGCAACTCCGTGTGCAGACGAGAAAGCAAGATAATATTTAGAGTATTTAAGAAACAATATGCTTTACTTTCACTGAATAACTATTTTTGTATTATTTGCCCATCATAAAGAAAGGCCAATTTTACCTAGGAATTTGTTTCCATAGAAACACAGCCTCATGTGCTGTGTGATAGACATTTTAAAAAACTAGCAGGTATTGTAAATGAAATTTTTACAAAGCATATTCTCACATTTTATATATAAGGAATGAGCTAAATGCAGAAAAATGCAATGTTTTATGAAATAAAGTGTGTGTGCTTACTATCACAAGCTGTCAATGTATACTATCAATGGTTTATCAAGGTATGTTTTTAATACCTATGGTTTTCTTTCAGGTCCTCGCCTTTTTCTGCCCTGCCCTATAGATGTTGATGGTTCCAGAGTGTGGTTCACAGACCTCTGGAATTATTCCTTGGTGCCCTATATTATGGAAGCTGTAAGAGAAGGACTTCAGGTAGGATTCTAACTGGATTGAACTGGTAGCTCTGCAAACAAATGTCACAGGCCTCTATCGTTATTTATGGAGAACAATTTTCTGAAACATGCCAGAATATCAAAAAACATATGTTAACTTCCAGCAGTTCCCAAAGGCTGGTTTTATCTCTTTATGGTTCTTCCTGGTCTGTGACAGAAGGATGATGATGTATATGCCCCTTGGGGGTGTTGGCCACTTCTTCTTCTTCTTAATTGCATTTCAGTCAGTCCTTTTACTGCATACCCTTCAGATTTGACTCCAAAGTGCCCTTATGGCCTCCTGCCCTTTACCTTCGTATTGCCTCTAGAGGATGACCTAAGAGATGAATGCAGAGCAAACAGAGACAATACAAGTGGCTTGGAGGAGTAACTTGTCACTGTGGTGGGGGAAAAACAATTCCTTTGATGTAATAGATGGAGATGATGGGTTGGATTATATAGATACTTCTGTTCCTCTGTCATATCTTAAAACTAAACAAGGGAGAAAAATCTTAAAGATAGCCAACCAGCAGAGAAACACTGCATTGGGGAGGGCTTGAACAGATGTCTATGTTTCCTGCTGTTGAATGGGACTCTTCTCAGCACCGAGTGACAGGAGAGGAAATTCTTAGAGGGGCCTACTGGGCACAGTACATGTTTAATCTTTAAAATTTAATAAAGACATTTCTCCTTTTATTTGGGGGTTCAACATATAGATGTATGGTAAACGAGCACCTTGGGAAGATCCTTTAAAGTGGATAGCAGAGACTTGTCCGTGGAGTTCACTGCAGCACGACTGGTCATCATTACTTCAGCTAAGACCTGAAGATGTTGGTTATGAAGGCTATTCATCTGCCAAAGAAGGAACCACCTCAAAGCACATTCCACAAACAGAGTCCGAAGGAGATCCTTTGGTAAAATGGAAGCTATGTTATTCTTATTCTTAAGCTTTATTGGTTGCTTTACATCCTAGTCAAGTAGTATGAGATCCTATAATATCTGGAAGGCTATTTTAAATCTGTATCGAAATGCAGTCCACACTGTGTCTTTGACTTTTCAAGAGTACTTGTAAAGTGAAGAACAATTTCTCAATTCTATCCAGAATCTCAATACCCTTCTTATTTTTATATACTGCATGTGGTCTGCTGGACCTCTCAGAGACTTCATCAGCCATGGTCTGCTGGACCTCATCAGCTGTGGCATCCTTTCTAGGTAGCCTTTTGGGGATGGGACTTGAAGGCACAGTTTCACAGTAATTCCAGTCTTCCTAGAGGGAGGAACTCAGAAGGTGGTGCTCACAGACTCCAGTTCAAACCCTTGACTTTTGGCTTGTGATACTGTATCCTTAGAGTTCATTCCGCCCCTCACTCTATTTAACATGCATTAAATTGAGAGGTTGTACAGAATAGGGGGAGTCAGTGCCACCAGTATGCTAACGACACCCAATTTTATCTCTCCTTTCCATGTAATTCTAAGGAAGCTCTCGTAGTTCTGAACCAGTGCTTCATGTCATGATTGGCTGGGATGAGAGTGAACAAACTGATGATTAATCCAGACAAGACAGAAGTCCTCCTGGTTGGTTGAAAGATAGATCAAGGAAGGGGAAGTGAACTGGTGTTGGGTAGGGTTACAGACCTCCTTGATATGCAGATGCATAAAGGGTGTTCACCTGGATTTGCCTTGAGCCTACATGCCAAGGATTTTCAGTGGCCAGGAGTACATTTACTGCCTGGATAGCTGGAGTGAGTTAGGTATCTGGCTGCTGAGCTAGAGGTTGGGAGTTCAGTTCCCCACTGTGCATTCTCGAAGAGCCAGCCTGTATCACCTTGGGCAAGCTGCACAGTCCCAGGATGCCCCCAGAAGAAAGGAATGGTAAACCACTTCTGAGTACTCTCTACATAGCAAACCCTGAAAAGGTTTGATGTAAGTCAGAATAGATGTGACAGGACACTTTTATTATTATTA